AACTGCCAGGATATACAATGCTGGAATGCTCCTTATTTCATCGAAAAGGACAGCAACTTCTTAATGCTTTGTGGGGGATGGTCAACGGAATTCACGTAGAAGACTGGAAGAATGATAACCCATGCAAGACTAAACAATGATTTTAAGAATATTCTTAGCACGTCACTGAATCTCCATCGATGATGGCCCGGAAAGTTAAGGATCAAGTCCAAGATGCCTGGTAATATAAAAAGGAATGGAAACTACGATCAATTTATGTGAACAAAGACCAAAACATGAAGGCAGAAAAAGTCAAGGATAAAGATATAGTGATATAAATTCTACTGCCAAACTTTATTTTTTTAAATAATGAGTTGAATTTAACTTGAACTTTGAACTTTGAAGCATATTTTTCTATTACCGTAAGACGTTTAGATTTTATTATAATCTCAGCCATAAACCCCGGATAAAATTCAATGTTATACTTTTTGTACTACCATCGCTTGAGAAGTTGCTACTGCTTATATGATCACGACTTCAGTTCAATCAAATGATAAGTTAAGCAACAAGACAAGTGATCCCGGTATAGGAGACATTTACATGAAAGCATAAACCGTACTTTGCAGGAAGCGCAGAATGGCCGCGGTAGGAATATACTTGATAGATCATATAAGACATCTTTCTTAAAGATATCCGCTACTGAAATTCCTTGCCATGCAATAATAATCAATACCTGCGATAAGAATGTGCAAGCCTTGTCATAAGTAGATCAGGGGAGAGAAACATCATACTTCCTTCTGTTTAAGTAATATACCTGCAAACCCAGTAAATAGAACGTCCAAAGACGATCGAAGCTGTGGAAAATATGCCAAAATGTCCGGTCTCAACGAAGTTCGATTTTCCAGTACTTCTAGAATTAGATTTTCTCTGAGCACCTTTTCTTCCCTGATACAGAAATTTTATAACTCAGTGAACGAAAAAGTATTCTGTGATGAAGGCTGCGCTCCTACAGAATACAAGTAACTAGCACCTGTGCCATGCTGGAAGTCGATTTAAAAAGTCACCATCATCACGCATGGGCCATCCAAGAGAAAAGCAATCAGATGACCTGAAGCAGAATGCCAAAAAACAAAAAACGAATATTTAATGAATGATGAACCCATCAAACAAAGTCGTTGTCCATGTCAAGATCTAAAGCTAAACGAACCAGAAAATACTCATTTAGATCATCATAGTTGCACCAAGTTGTGTGAGAAGCTGTTCCATTTTTACTCTTTTCGCGCTTCCTGTCGAATTTATTCAGCATCATTGAAACTTACATATGTACTTGCCAAAGTATGTCAGTACTTGCCAAAGTATGTCAAAATGTTGGACAGCAATACGGACCTTTTCAATTACTCGGTAGAGGGGAGTTATAACCTTGCGCAGAAATGCTTCATCATCACCACCGTAAGAAGGCTTAATATTTTCACCGGTAACATACTGACATTTCCGGCCAATAAGCCATGGAGCTCATACGCCATCTAAAGTAATTGTCAGACATTGTTAGTATATTTGAAAATTTTTAGTAAGCACCTCCAGGATAAATTAACATTGGTCAGACATTCCAGGATAGCATAGCTAATAGAATTCGAAGATTAAGGAAGTTTTACTTACATTGTGGAATATATAGCAGAGACATTCCGGCAGAAGCGAACATTAGCTGCTTCACCCCAGATGAGAAGATAAAGACCCATGTAAAGCAACTTCCTCTGCTGTATCTCTTGTTGGCCTTGAGGAAGTTGTGAAAACACCAAGATAAATGATACACAAGTCAATTTGGCATCACAAGATTCTGATTTATTCTTGAAATGTTTGTGAAAACCAAAACACGCATGAAAGCCAAATGTCACAAATGTTCGTTGGTGCAGGCATGCTTATATCTCACCGTAAACTATGTTTTCGTCCCAAAAATTTGCAAACCAGTTTTTGTAGTTCTTAAAGAGATCTTTCATCACTGCATCAACTGCTCGATCATCAAGCTGCATTTCACCAAACACAAATTTAATACGTGGGGGAAAAAAGGCAGGGCTACTCAGTTAACTAGAGAATTCTAAATTTACTTAGTATTCCGTGTTTCTTCTTTAACTCGGTCTAATTTTAATCTAAAATGCTTTCACCAAACGAGGAAGTATAGGTTTACGTGCCTTGTTTGCGGCTCAGGTTTGGGAATCAGTCTTATATGAGAGTTAGCAAGAAGCAGAATCAAATGCTCCCTCTGATTCCTGACGTTGTCCCTCTGGATCCAAATAAACCAAACGCGTTAATAACATAGGGTGGTCGAATAAAAAAATTCAGGTATGCACAGATTTTTCATTCTCTCCATTTATCTACTTGGAGTGGATTACATGCCTGGAACCCGAACATGGCCCTAAGCCAATCAAGCAGGTCTAACTCTCCAGCTTTTTGCCTTTGTTGCTCGATGAATTAGGCCAGTTCAGGCCACGAGTGTTTCCTAGTGCCGAAACAGCTGCCTTGATCTAATGTGGGAAAGCCAAAGGATTCAATAAAATGCCAAATGAAACAGGATGAGATATCCAGCTACTGAAGAAGGATTACCTCTTCAAGCTGCATAATGGGCTGAGAAGCCCCTGCAGAATCCAGGGGAAGAATATTATAAGGCGCATAATATTTCCGTCCTTTCCTGGACATCTCTAGCAGCCGCGATAACTGCTTACACAAAATTTATAGCTATCATATCTCCAGGATTTGGATGTTGCGAGAGAGAAAAAAAAAGCGTGAAATGTATATATAGGTGCACACATTCTCGACAAAATCAATCTAAATTATTTGAATCGTGGCTTACCTCAGGAGCTACTTCCTCAACCTTCTCGGTTTTATTAACGGCACAAAGCACTTCGAAAAGGACTCCGGCGGTCTGATAAGCCTTGCCGAGCTGGGCTCTGCAAAAGACGGAGCGAACAAACCCTGCTATTAGCACTTAGCTAAGCAGTTGAAGGAAAATTTATACAAATGAGAACCAGAGAGAACATTCAAGCTTCAAAGTAAAAAACAAATAAGCTTATTATTCTTATATGAATTCGAGCAAGTACCGGTCTGCCTGCTCCCCCTGGTCTAGAGCTCTGACGTATTGTTCGTAATACTGCTTATAGTAAGCCTGTATTTCCCGCGCATCTGTCTTCTTAACCCGAGAGGCAAGACTGGATGCGTTGTCCTGGAATTGGACGGATAGTGAGTTGGAATGAGAGGAAAAAGAAACAGTTAACTTCACATGTATTTCACGCACCGAATCTCTCTGTCCCATGTTATTTCTAAGGCAGGATAACTGTAGCAGGTCAAGCTATGGCTGACTAAAATTCGGTGAACTTCGTTGACTTAAAAAAATGAATATAGTTTTTTTTTAAAAGAAAAATATCGATAGATTTAAATGCAAACTATTGGGAGAATTAGGTGTAACAATTGAGATGAGTAACATTATTAGGTTTACGATCAGCTGTCACAGTCGCTGTTGTAGGGAAGGGGCATAAATTGATCGGACGAAGTAAATGATAAAATATATTTTAAATAAAAGAATCTTAAAATAGAGCGAGTAGGAGGAACTGGGAGATATCTGAGTAAAAGCAATACTATAATTTTAAAAGTGTTTTTATAACATATAAAGTAAATATGTGAAGGAATTTGTCTCGATTTATAAAAAAAAATTCTTTTGAAAGCACTTTTTGAACACTCCAAACACCTTCAAATATCACTAAAATAAGGGGGGAAGGACAAAATGTAAGAAAAATAATAAATTATAAAAACGTTATTTTTTTTTGGTAACAAATTATAAGAACATTCTAAATTTCTAATTCATCGTGTTACAATATTACACTCACCATTTAAAAGCTATTAAATTGTTTAATTAATTTGAGAGAATTTGAGTTTTAATTAAAAAATAAAGAATAAATCTTACTTTTAACCCCTCTCTGTATTTAGAGTTTGGGGGGGGGGGAACAAACCACAAAAAAAAAAAGTGCTTAGAGGCAGTCACCTAAAATTATGTCAACTTTAACTCCAGCAGAAATCATCTTATCCAGCTATACACAAATGGTCTTCAGAACTTTTCAATGCATAATTTAATTTTCTGGGGCTTCTTTTTAATATTACTACATAATTTGGTTTGACGAGATATACTTTAAGTACAGAATTTTTTAAAAAAAGAAGTACTAGTATATTAGGATGAATTTAAAAAATAAACATTGTCACTTGGTTGTGCGCATTCACAATTGAATGTGTTTGGCACATTGATTAAGAAAAAACTGTGTTTGGAATTTGGATTGGCCAAAAAGAAGGAGGGGAAAAAAGTTTTTGGCGCTGTCCTTCCTTGGGTAAGGTAATTAATTACAAACTCACGAGAGAAATGAAAAAAGCAACGGTTTCATTTACCCTCTCCAACCGCTGCAGCAGCAAGGTCTTGAACTGCCTGACGCCACGCCCGCTGGAACTTTGATCCAACCTGTGCGCCTTCTCGAAAGCATAGAAGCGACCTTCCAAATTAAAACAAACAAGCCAATATCGAATTAATTTTGTGGGATAATGCGCTGAGGAGGGTTCGAAATCGAATCAATGTGTAAACGTATTCATTACATAGATAGGCAACCCTGGGGCGCTCGGATTCAATCTCATTGGCGACTCGGAGAATGGGTGCGATGGAGGCAAGAGAGGAAGGAACAACTTCATTATCAAAGACCTCGGTGGAGAAGGTGGTAGCGGCGCTTCGTGACGGCCGTCTCGTCAGTGATTGTGGAGCGAACTCGTGATTCGTCATTGGCGTCGGCGACCACCTCCGGGCCGCGATTTAATCAATTTTCTTTTCTCGTCGTCTCTGTCAAGACGATCGATCATCAACGTTGTCTGTCCTTGGCGTGCATCTTAAAATACACACAGAACACAACGAACATTCAGATTATATTCCCAAAAACCAAACTGACGGCATCAAAAACTTCATGCTTCATTGTGCATGCACTCTATAATGTATGATAATGTGTGAGAGTGTGAGTGAGTGAGAGAGAGAGAGAGAGAGGATTTGAAATTACCAGAACATTTTTGTGAAGCGCATGGAGCCAAACCACCAAAACTGGCGAATTAAAAATCAAGAAACTGCGAAGCCTAATTATTCGCACGTGAAGATCCAAGAAATTCACCGATAGAAAGAACTAAACGAACTAAATCGCGATGCTTCAATACGCACTGTATGATATGAGTGAGAGAGAGAGAGTGAGAGTGATCGCGGAAATGACAAGAACTTTTTGAACCGCGAAGAAAATGGAGGCAACGAGATTCACAAATTAAAAAATAATGAAAGAGTGAGAAACGTAATTTGCCGTCAAGGTCAGAGAAAACTCGAGAAAACGATGCTTCAACGGAAATAATGCGTGAGCCTCTTGAATGATAACGGCAAGGAACAAAGAAGAGAAATTACAATTCCAAAACAGAAGAAGAAGAAGAAGAAGAAAGAAGGCAGAGTACTGGAGGCAACTGGAATTTTGTAAAACAGAGCAAGAAAGGGAAACGGAAATCGGAGGATGAAACAGAAAATGTGGAGAGTGAAGGAGAAAGAGAGGTAAGAGAAGACGACACGTGGTTCAATGGCGAGAGAGAGTGGAATTCGGAGAAAAAAGAGAAGAAGATGAGCTTGCCTGTGCTGTAAGATTCAATGGAAGTTTCTTCCTCTTCCTCTTTCCTTGGATTCAACACATAACAGATTGTCAATGTCCTCGTCCTGTCAAGCCTCTTGTGCCTGAAGCTCACAATGGCAATTTCAACTTTCAAACAACAACTTTTCCGTTTTCTTTGTTTATATATAGAGAAGGGCCGGTCTGTGAAATTAAGATGCAGTTATATATTTTATCACGGAAGGGATGAATGTTTTTGGCATTTTTAGAAAAATAGCGCAGTTTTTAGAGTGTTTAAATGTTTCAAAATATTTTGACAAGAAAAATGTTTTCAAAATATAAAATATTTTTAAAAAATGTTTTATAAATAAACTTATTCCAAAATTTCTCACAATAATGGTATAATAATTAAGTGTGAGTTTGAGTTGGGGTTACATTATATTAATTGAAGGGAATTTGTAAAAGCTATAGGGTTAAGTTGCATCATATCTCTAACTAAACTTGGTATCCTAAATTAAATTTTGATGCATTTAGCATTGTAATACACTTATTAGTATCCTAAAATAATTTTTAGCATAATTTTATTCTTAAAATATTTTTTTGTAACAAGTATTTTATACTTAAAATATTGAGTGCTGCTAAAAATTGTTTATGGGTATTGGACGTAAAAAAATGGTTTAGAATGGCGGTGCTGCTAGAAGAATTATTCTTAATGCGTTGGATGTTACTTAATCCCAATTGACATGCACATTTGCAAAAAAAAAAGAAAAGATTTAATTGTTTCTAATTTGATAGAGTAGGGGGAGCAGCTTTGTTTTGTTGGTTGAACGATGAAGCAGATTTTTACAAATTGTGAAAAAACTATATTAGTGATCTTATTGGAAAAGAAGGGAGATCATATGGGGCAAAAGGGCATTGATTTGGTTACATCAATTTGTTTTAATTAATTATAATGAGAATCCCCGGAGCAAATTGGATATATCTTGTTTTAGAAAGGCACCTTCAATGCAAGAGATAATTTCTTGGTTTTGCATGTATCTCGATTTTCTTCCATATGTCAATTAAATAAAGTCAAGAAAGGCCCTCCCTTTTCTCTCTAAATAATAACAATAATAATAATAATGGACACGCTACATAAAACAAGTAGTTAGGAGTTGTCCACGTCATTTTCATAGGTTATGAAATAAACCCATATGCAAGGGATCATCGTATGCAAGTAAATATCCTTTATACATAAGTGAGCATCCGTTATATATAATTAGTATCTGCATTACACAAATAAACATTGGTTATATACAATTAAGCATCCGTTAAATGCAATTATTATCCTTGTTACGCAATAAACTTATATGCAAACAGACATAAGTTATATGCAAGTGAACATCATTCATATGGGTGTTCATGAAACCTAGTTGCCCGCAATGCCCGCCCAAACCCGCAAAAAAGTACCCAGTCCGCCCTAAAAAAAATTGACCAAAAAGAACTATTGGACATGTTCGGGCTGGGCAAATTATTGGGCAGGGCCGAGCATCGGGCACGGTATGCTGCCCTATCCATTTGGCCCTGCCCGCAATAATATATATAATTTTATTTACATATATTTTAATTGCCTCATATTTATTTCTTGACTCAAACATATTGTTGCATCAATATTTAGTATTCATTATACTTATTTATTTTTGAATGATTTTAAGAGTTAGAAACTAGAAAAACAATTATTATACTTATTTATTTTTGAATGATTTTAAGAGTTAGAAATTAGAAAAACAATTGTGTTTAATAAAATATACAAATAATATTTTTTTTGTCATAGTCCACTCCTCTTAGCTACTACAAAAAGTAGTTTCATAGTATATTAATTATTAATAACAAAATTAAAGCCAAGTTGCCATTTTAATATAAAGTTACATTAGATTATTTAAAAGAACATAAATAATTGGTTAATTAATGTAATATATTAATTTGTTGGGCATAAAAGCCCACCCTGCCCAGCCCACATTTGTTTAGCCCAAACTTAATAGGACTTTTCATAGGCAGGGTTGGACAATGGGCTGCATTTTCCAACTCGTTCATTCTTCGGACTGGGCATCGGGCGAGGACCCAGCCCTGTCCATATGCAGCCCTATTCATTCATATGCAATGAACCCATCATATTTAATTAGTCATATACAAGTGAGGATCTATAATAAATTGTCTTTTAATAGTTATATTTTTTAAAAAAATATTTTTTATTTAAAAATTATTAATTAAAAATTTTAAATATAATAAACTGTTGAAATTGTATTTGAACACGGCACACCATAATTTCGGTTCCAAATGCTTTTAAAAAGAGGTAACTTCTCCATTTATATTACCTCAATTCCTTAATATAAAAACTAATTTAACATTTAATTTGATTTTAAATATAAGATTTTAATTCACTTTGTCTTTTATATTTATCTATTTTTTAAAGATAGTTCTTATAGTAATTACACATATTAAAAGTTTCATCAAATGATAGTCCTAGCTAATATACTTGATTAATAAGAGTATTATAAGGAAGACAATACTTATTTATTATAAATAACTAAACTAATTTTTTAAATCTATTCAAATTAATTAACTAGTTACTACCTCTGGTCCTTAATATAAAACCCATTTTGACTTTTTGTTTGGTCCTAATTATAAGACCCCAATCTATTTTTTCTCTCGTATTTATGCATTTTTTTCAAGATAGTCCTTCTAATAATAATAGTTCTAACCAATACACTTAATTAGCAAGGATATTTTAGGAATGACAACACTTATTTATTACAAATAACTAACTTAACTTATTTCCTTAATCTCCTCAAATAAGTCAACTGGATCTTATAATTAGGACCGGAGGTAGTATTATACTCCCTCCGTTCCTTATTATAAAAGACATTTGATGCTTATGGCATGTTCCTATATATAAGAGACACTTAAAAGTTGTCTCTACTTTTTTGTATTGATTTCCTATTTTACCCATATTTATTAGCTCCAACTCACACTCTCTCTCTTTTCTACTTCTCTTTCTTTTAATAATTTAATTATTCTCTCTCATGCTCTCTCTCCTTATTAATGAGGGCATTTTGGAAAAAAAATTATACTTTTTACACATTAATTGTTCTTAACTAATTTTAAGTGTTTTTTTTTTATTAACGTACTCCGATTATTTGTCTCTTATAATAAGAAACGGAGGGAGTATTAAATAGCGGAGGCAGTACTACTGTGTATTCAAGAGTAGTGTTTAAATTAAATGTTTTCCTTTTCTTGATGGGAAAAAAGTTTATTTTTAAATGTTTTCATAAATTATAACGAGAATAAGTAAAGCACGTTCAATGCAAGAGATAATTTCTTGAGTTTGCCTTATCTTGACTTTTTTCAAGATATCACATAAATACAGTCAACGCGGGCATCTTTTCTCTCCGTTAAATAAATAAATAAATATTAGACACGTTATTTTCGTTTAAACTTGAAACCACAATTTTCATAAATAATGCGACCAAGGATTTATCCACATCATTTACATAGTTTATTTTAATTTTTATTACAAGTGAAAATTCTAATTTCTTGGAAAGTCTATAGATAACACAGAATGTTCACATATGAAAAAAAGAAAAAGGGAAGAACAGTTGGCCAAAAGGGGACGAACGGGAAAAGATCTTGGGGCACTTTATTGATTTCCTCCTGGTCAAGTAATTTAAAAAATCTTTTACACGATGATCTGCATTTTAGGATGGAGTTTTGATTTTATAAAATATTTCAATTTTTAAGTTTTTGAAGGCCATTCTTTTTAACATAAAGTGATAAACGTAAAGATAATTCTGAAAGAAAAGTGATTTGTTATTGAAACTATTCATATTTTGCTTATTTTCAAAAAAGAAATAATTGAAAAAGTAATTTAAATATTTAAATTTAATTCAAACGAATAATTCAGAAATTGAATGAACAATACAAATCACTTTTTTATTTTCCTTTTTTAGTCAGATAACATTACGTGAACGTGGTATTTTTTCACTCATAGACTTCTTTAGCTTATGAATTCGGTTGTAAATAGATTCACTAGTATTTTATATCTATTTTTATTTTTTCGCCATTTTTATTGGGAAAAAAAAACACGCGCACACACGTTTTGAAAAGTTCTAGGACTTTGCTTTAAGCTTTTAAAATTGATCGGACTTAAAAAAAAAAAAAGTAAAGAAAGATTCTTGTTACTTCCATTATATCTAATTCTCCCATCAAATCTGATTATAGTCATTTTTATAATTAATGATAGTTTAATAGAATTTTATAAATTATCCATGTTAATTTTTATTATTAAAAAAATTTTCATGCTGAAATTTTATTGGAGTATTGAACCTAATAGATAAAAGCAAATAGATTTAAATTTAATCCTTTAAAATATTTAAACGATGTGAAAATTTCAAGTTCCAAGAAACAAGCCCTATATGAAGATCATCACCTTACGTCCTTACCCACATACTACCAAACTATTCAAAGCATAACAAGGTTTGTATAACTTTGTATTATAACTAAGTTATCGCCTCCTTTCTTCTCTCTATCTCCTCTCAGTTCTTGCCTAGTAATTTGTATTACGTGTGTTTCGCAAGTATATAGCAACATTAACTATATCCTAAGATCACATAGATGCATCTTCATCTCTTAGCTAATTTCACCCTACCAAACAAAATAATCTTCTGGATCGCTCAAAACACAATTCTAAACAATTCGTTCATAAATCTGTGAGATCAACTAGAGGTAAAACATTCTACTTGTCGATTATATATAATATGAATAATATTAAAAATAAAAAATATGGGATCTTAGGTTGGGATATTTTTATTTATCATATATGTATATGAGACTTGCATATTATATGAAAATAGCTCAAACTACTTGGTTTGACTCACATCATGGTCATTAAATACCTTTTGCCTTATAATTATTGGATGTGTGGATTTTTTTTCCTATGTACTCTAATATTTTATACTTGTGTATAGATTTTTTTTCCTATTTATTATATGCATGTGTGTGTGTGTTATTATTGATTATTTATATCTGCTTTACACGTATTTAATTTTGACGAATTAATTGCTTAAATATACAGGTGGCCTTAGCCTGGGGAGCGAAGCCAGAAGTTGATCATAAAGAGCAATTAGCGTCATCGCGGTTCCCAGCTGATTTTAAAATGTCTACTTCGTGTGGCAAGAAGAAGAATATTGATAATAGTCAAAGTCTTGTGTTACCTAGTACTTTGACCGTAATGTTCATCACTAGCTCCAGTAATTCTGCCTCAACCTCTTATCATCATCCAATTTCTCAGTTTAATTCTCAAAGGTAATTGCTTCTTCAATTCTTTAATTTTCTTTCTTCTTCGGAGATCATCTTATAAATAATAAAGCTTAATTAATATATCAATGGCACGCGTGTGTGTATAGTGACATGTTATAGAATTTTTTTAGGTTAATATAATATTTGGTCCCTTAAAATTTCAAACCATAGGTTTTTATCTCTTAGGAGGCAAAATAATTTGTGTTTTTATTAGATTATAAGGATCAATGTTATAAATAAAAACAAACTTGAGAGATTAAAACCTATTATTGAAAAATTGAGGGACTAAAACTAAAATGAGAACAAATTTGAAAGACTAAAAAGTGTATCAATCTTTTTTTTTTTTTTTTTTACAGTTCTTCAACTTTGAATGGTGAAGCAAGCGAATGGAAGGGAAAGAAGAAGGAGGATATTGGAAGTATTGTGTTGCCTGAAACCTCTATTTTCTACGGTCTCAGAACTGTTTCCACCATAATATTTAGCAGCTCCGAATCTGACACCAACGCTCCTAATTCTGCAATCTCTTATGATGATCAAGCTAATAATGCTAACAGGTTGGTTAATTCATTATTCAATTCATTTTAGTTTTGTTGTTCTTTTCATATATATATATAGAGAGAGAGAGACATATACAAGTTATTAGTTGAGATGGTAGCAGCCTCACTCTCGTAAGGAAAAGAATATAAATTTAAATTCTAAAAAACATACTTATCGAGAGGATTATTCTTTAACTGTTCCTAGTCCGAAAGAGATTAGTCTTAAGTCTAATATGACTTGAAAATACTTTAGTGTCACGGAAAACAAATACCTTCTTGGAACTAAAATCAGAAGAGCTATATCTTATTTTTATAATTCGTTGGATATATGTTGTTGTGTTTAGTTATTTGTCTCCTAAGTCTTCTCTATTAAACTTTTCTCTCGTTCAAAATTCATGGGGAGGCTTTATATATGTTGCTGATTTAATTTTACAATTTTTTATGTGGGCAAATATAGTTTTTTTCTTTAAACATTTCTGAAAATTTACTGTGGCTTAATTTCTATCTTTTTCCTCTCCTTATAGTTCTGCATCTTTCAATGCTCAAACAATTGAAGTAAAAGAGTACACTGCCAGTAACCCATCCAAGTGGAAGAGAGGAAAAATTTTAGGGCAAGGAGCATTTGGGCGTGTTTATAAAGGATTTAACAGGTAATTAATCTCTTGTTTGAAATATATTTAATTTATTCTTAATCAACAAACAAAACTGATCTTTTATATATTACACTTTAGAGCTTAATCACATATTTATGATAATTTACATATCTTGAATCTTTTAGGTTTGAATTGGTGTGTGTGGTAGTTATATATATATATATATATATATATATATATAAAATACACATTATTATTCCTCTGTTTATATGTGACTTAAATATCTCTTGCTATCAATACAAAAACATCCATGTCAATGAATTGGTATATTTTTATATCGTGATAAAATTAAATTTATTTTATCTATGATCTGTGCACCCATCTTTATTATTGTTTTTGTTTATGAACAAAATATTAGTGTTTTGGTTTTTTTTAATTTGCTCCTTTTGTCTAAAATGTTTTTTTTTTTCAGTGAAACGGGGCAAATATGTGCAATTAAAGAAGTCTTTTATGCTGATGATGATGACAGATCAGAAAAATGCCTTCAACAACTTTGTCAGGTAAACCAGTGCAACGTAGTGTAGTAGCTATTCATATGATTTGCAATTAATTGGAATTTGCTTAATGCATCAAAATAAATTAGCTCAATGATTAATTATTATTTTTATTTTTTTTCACAGGAGAAAAATATTCTCTCTCAGCTTTCACATTCCAACATCGTGAAATATTATGGAAGTGAATTGGTATATCAATGTTCATAATAAATTCATATACTACATATATATTGTATGACAAATTTCATTAATAAGACCCATTTGTTAATTTATTTGCAGGGGGAAAAATATATTTCAATTTATATGGAATACGTATCTTGTGGCTCAATCTACACGATACTTCAAAAATATGGTCCTCTTGAAGAGTACGTTATTCAACATTATACCAAACAAATTGTCTCAGGACTTGCCTACTTGCATAGCAGAAACATAGTACACAGGTTAGTTATTTAATCTTCATAGTTTGATGAGAAACATGAACTTGTCACTTTTTTTAGTTAATTTTCTTTGTGTTTTTTTTGTCAGGGATATTAAAGGAGCTAATATACTGGTTAATCCTTATGGTGAAATTAAACTGGCCGACTTTGGAATGGCAAGATATGTAAGTGCACAATATCGTATTTCATTTACTTTACATGTATTTCTTTGTTTAATTATGGTATGACCATCCCGGCCAAAAAATTATGGTATGACAATATATATATATATATAGAAAAGCAAGCCCCATACATATTTAATTAGGTGATATGTTCTATTTAAAACTTACAATTTGCTCAATTTTCTATGACTAAATTTTATAGATATTGATGATCAAACAATTAAGTAATTATAGTAATTATAACAAAAAATATATATCATGCTTTCTCTTTTCAAGCACTTATTAATGTCTTGCATATGTATATTCTTATAATATTTGTTCCTAAAGTGGCTTCTACTTCTTCTTTTTTTACATATCACGTTTTAGTTGGGAGAAGAATGTCTCGACTAGTTTCTTTCTTCACTTTCTCTTCAGTATGGTTGTATTATTGCCAATAATGAAAATTTCTAACTTATGATTACTCTAAATTAGGTAAATTCTTCTTCTAAGATGTATTCTTTCAAGGGAACTCTATATTGGATGGCTCCAGAGGTAAAACTTTTCTTTTCTCTATATATGTCAAAAAGTTATAATTTCCTTTAGAAACAAGCATATGCCCTTTATTACTATTTCCCCCCTTTATTTGTCTTCCCTTTTCCAGTAAATACTAAACTTTGATATTTGCTTCTTTTTTTTTCCCCAGATGGTGGACAACAAAAATGGATATACTATTGCTGTGGATATATGGAGTTTAGGATGTACAGTTCTAGAAATGGCAACACAAAAACCTCCATGGAGTCAATATAAAAGGGTGGGTCGTACTATTGATTTTTGTTTAATAATATTTTAAATTTGCATATTTTATTTCATGAGAAGGATTAACTAACATTATTATTAATTTCATTTAATATTGGACAGGAAGTTGCAATAGCAAAAATTGGGAATAGCAGAGACTTACCAACTATTCCAAATCATCTTTCAGATAACGCAAAGTCTTTTATAAGATTTTGCTTACAAAGAGATCCAGATGCTCGACCACCCGCACATCAATTACTTGATCATCCTTTTATTAGAGAATATTAATTGATGATCATATTGATTAAGAGATGAGCTCAAAATTAAACGTCAATGTGTAGAAAATGTTTTGTAATAATTTTGTTTTGTGACTGCCTATGTATGAGCCAACTTAGGTTCTCAAATTATGCATGTAAATATTTCATGATTATTACCAATTAAATAGATTGTGCTTAATTATCACACATGAATCAATCTATTTATAATCATTGAAGGTCATAAATGTTTTAACTGTAGTTGATTGTAAATGTTATTGTTCATTTTATACCATGATAAATCATTTCATTTTCAATTTTCAATTTTTCAACTTGTAAGTAAAACTTTTACCCTTTGTCTGGTGCCAGAGAAAGTGGGAAAAGAGGAAGGAAATAAAGATTTTAATGAGTTTGATTTTTAAAAAAATGAAAAAAAAATGAAGTTTTAAAATTTTAATAAAAAAAGATGTAAGATAAAGGAATAATAAAAATTAGTTAAACTTGCTAATGGGACTACTTAATATTTTTTTAGTAACATTTGTAAATTCAAATATTATAGATAAAAGATGCTAAAATATTCTAATCCGATGGCATTGAATTCTAGCTAATCATACACTCACAAATAAGCCGTGTTTTCCAAAATCTCTTTTGCGTTTGGACTTGGGAGTTGGGCCAGACAGAAATTAGAAACAAACACTGGAGTGCACCACTCTGATACTTTTTTAATTGTCACTTGAGGAAATTTTAGTTTCTTTTATTTATTGCTTGTATTTTAATTCTTTATTTTTAATTCTGTCTCTATTAATTAAGGAAGATAAATGTAAGGGGAAAGAGAGAAGGAATGTGTGAGAAAAAAAATACTAACATTTAATAAGGATAAAGGTAAAAGATTTTCTGTATTTAATGATATATGTGAGAAATTATTACAAATGATAATTAAAAAGGAACAAAGTACTTCTCCGGTCCTTAATATAAGACCCATTTAACTAATTTGATTAGATTAAGGAAGTTAGGTAAGTTAGTTAATTATAAGAAAAGTGACACATTTTTCCTAAAATACCACAATCATCTTTCTTAATACCCTCTCTCCTTCTTCTACTTAATTATGGTTGAGAGAGTATCCATATGGGTAATTTAGAGAAAATTAATAAATATGAGAAATGGGTCATATATTTAGGACCAAAACCAACTTAAGAATTGGGTCCTATATTAAGGACTGGAGGAGTAGTATACAAGTATATAAATATTTTCTGTCCCTTGTTAGACATACTTTTGATATATTTTTTTTATAATAAACACAAAATATGAGAAAATATTTTAAAAGTAAAATTATCAAACTAAACACGGTTCCGTATTATGTTTGTAATTTATTTCAATAAATTGGACTTGTAGAACTGATATTCGGAGAATTAATTTATAGGCCAAACAACAAATTTCATATAGAAAAAAAGTTGCCTCAACAGGAAAAAATAATTTAAAAAAATTAGGCAAACGCACGAAATGACGAAATTAGCCGGCAAGCAAATAATTGTTTAATATTTCACAAGTGTAATTAAAAATTTCTATAAAAATGTATAATGGCCTGTTTTTTAAGTGCAGTTAATTGTTATACAAGTCTAGAAAACAAGACTAATATGATTCATATGAAATTTTGAGATGTAAGTGATATTTTTTTGAAAATTTTCTTTTCTTAGTTAACCTTTTATTACAATCCATGGCCAAGGTATGGTGATAAACTATGCGGTGGGGTTTCCCGATGTAGCGAAGTAGCAACGTTTCTCGATGCAGAGGTTGAAGCGAAGCACCCGTTGGTTGATTTCCCAATTCAAACGGGCGTTCGGATGATAAGCCGGAGAAAGCAAGAATAATCATGCCGAAGCGAAAGCCGCTTCGGTGTTTCATCTTTCTTGCTATTTCCTGTTAAGAGACTCTATGACATTCTACTAGGGACGTGGTTGCTAGTCAAATTAGAATGATATGAATCTCTCCTATCTTAATCGCTTCCCCGAGCGTCTTGTTGCTCCTCTCTACTCTACAACTCCCATCAGGTTCACCCTTCTATACAGAACTAAATTCATTGGGTTTCGCTGTCATTTCTCACTTGGGCATTTCTTCAGACACTTACTGACCTTTTTCCCTTCGAGCTTGGTTTGCTCATCTTTTATTCTCACTCGATTGCTTTTCTATATTTAAATTTTCAGAAGCCACCGGACGGATGATATTGCTATTGAAGGTCGTAACCTGAATTTCTCGTTCCCCACAAGGCAGGTGAAAGCTGTACCGATTCTTCGGGATTGTTCAATTCGCATTCCTTCTGGGCAGTTTTGGATGCTTCTTGGACCCAACGGATGCGGGAAATCTACCCTCTTAAAGGTATGCACAAAACCCCTCTTCCCTTCTGTGGAACCCCAATAGAATGATAGGTCCGCTGCTTCCAACTGGCTCGATGCCTTTTGAGGAGTTGTTTAATACTATGGGGCTTTGGCATAGTATCAGAATACGCAGTGATTCTGAGCTTAATGTGCAGATATTAGCTGGTCTCTTAAATCCTACTGCAGGAACAGTGTGCGTGAAAGGCCCCAAAAGTTTTGTTTTCCAAAATCCAGATCATCAGGTATTCTAACTTCATTGTTATCTTTCTTCATAGCATAAGTGTTGGGTATTAGATAATTATGAAACTTTTAACTTTCATATTTGAAAAGGAAAATCTTTCACTTGCTTGTCATGAGAATAAGTAGTTTGGCTGTATGACAGAATGAGACGACATTTTGAGTTGAGGGAAGGGAAGTATATCAACGTGACAAGTTAGAGAAAAGTGGAATTCATTTTTAAATTATCTTGCTACCATTGTTATTCTGGCTGTGGACTGGTTTTCTAACATTGTATATAGTTTAATGTAGATGACTAAACTTGATAAAATTTGTCATCAACTTGTTTAATGTTGTCGATACGTATAATTTTATGTATATATAACTATTTAGCAAAGGCATTTGGCGATTGCAATTTGCAACTGACCTGTACTTAACCTACGAGCAAACTCTTAAGAACCATAATGACACATGATTCCTGAACCAGGCAACTGTTCTCTGTCTTGTATTACTTCCCGTAAGATTACATTAACAACACATAATCACATGCTGAGCAAACTCTTAAAATTCGCCTCAATTTTTAAATTTTTAGTCTCCACTTAATAATGACTGTATTTTCACATTTATGGCTTTGATGCTCTTCCTCTGCGTGTCCATATGTGTTATTTACTAACATGCCATTCTGACCGGTTCTCTTACTATTTTAACCTTACTGTTTGCAGTTTGCAAAATGCAATTTTTTTTCCTTCCAAAATTGGATCGACAATTATAGAAAATAGGAACTTGGTTTTAGTGAACATGTTAAAATAGATATGCAGAAAATAGGTCTTAATCTGAGTAAGTGTGAAGCATTACACGTGCTGCAGGTGGTAATGCCAACAGTGGAAGCTGACGTTGCATTTGGTCTTGGCAAGTTCAATCTGACCAATGATGAAGTGAAATCAAGGGTATCAAGAGCGTTGCATGCTGTGGGCATGTCTGACTACATGCAGGTATTATGGGCACGGACAACTCTGAACGCTAATACAAATTGAGGGATTCCTATGAATGAATATTCCCTTTGCTGCAATTTTCAGAGATCTGTTCAAACTCTAAGTGGCGGTCAGAAGCAGAGGGTTGCCATTGCTGGTGCTTTAGCAGAAGCTTGTAAAGTTCTGTTGTTGGATGAGCTCACAACGTTCTTAGATGAAAATGACCAGGTAATCAGCCAACCATTATTGTAATGATATTCTCTCCTGCGTAGCATTAGAACCATCGAAAAGAAAAACAATAAATGGAGATAACCCCTTGCTTAGAGGGTTAAACTTGCTGCTTAAGCCTATGACAACTCTCAGAAGTACCAGTGGCACTCATTGTTAGTGGGGCGATGTCTAGTTTAGTCCTATTACAGCTCTAAGAAATATGGCTTGAATTTCTGAACAGCTTTACTGCTTTAAAGCATGGTTTCACTACGGTTCCGACCCATACTAATAATATGCTGTGCAAGACCAGCAATTACTTAACAGATTGTTTGCTTCAATATTTTTTTCAGGTTGGTGTTATCAAAGCAGTTAGGAATTCTCTGGATACTTCTGCAGGGGTTACAGCATTGTGGGTCACTCATCGTTTAGAAGAATTGAACTATGCTGATGGTGCCGTCTACATGGAGGATGGGAAAGTTGTGATGCATGGAGATGCTGAAAGAATTAAAAGTTTCATTGAAGCCAGGCAATCCGACTATATCAAACAGATAAATTCTTGATCAACGCCCTTTTGGTTTCTGAAATTGTTTCCAATATTTTATAATGCAAACACACACATTATTGATGTTCCTCCTTCTTCACTTCGTCTTCTATCCAATCCCCACGTGACTTCGGGGAGCGGCCCGGCATGTTTATCTACCTCGCATATTAAAGCAATACCAATTGTTTTCAATACTTTTAAGACGCTAAAATGTGCAATTTGTTGTGCATGCAGAGGATTGCATATATGCTTTTGTGTGTATGCACGGTCAAAAATGGATATGTGATGTCTACCCATAAAAGATGTGAATGTATATGCACATGTATGTTTGGTAAGAGAATAAGAGAATAATGGTTTACAAGTAGAATAGTCCATTGTATACGCGTAATCTGGAATCGTCCATTAAAAGTTGAATCCACTCTGGTCTTATCTTTTAGATCCATCATTTTTAATGGATGAATCGGGGAGCAAAATATGGCATTATGATGGGAGAGCTATTATCACTCAAGTCTAAGAAAATTTTCGTTTTTGATTAGTGGTAGATGCCATGCAGTAGTTTTTTTTTTTTTTGGAATATGTGATGTATTTGTAGTTGCATGGAAGTTGAGGCTATTTTAACAAATATATCAAGTAGAGTTATAAATCACAAATATCTTTAATTATTGCTATTGAACTCTCCTAGAAATTATAAAAATTCCATTTGCCCGATATCATTTTTTGCAATCCTGACGTCTCTAATCACGAAAAAATGACATTTGATCTATGATTTATTAAGCAGCCGCAATAAGCCTCTTATAAGTTAAATTTTAAAAATTTAAATGGATAACATTGCTAAAATATTGCTTCTATTATTTCCTAGTTACTTTGCCCGGTCATTAGCCCATCCTCCCTCGTTGGCTAGGCCTTTTGTTTTTTTTTTTTTTGCGCCATAGTATTTTAGACTACCTCCGGTTTTAATTATAAGAGCTAGTTGACTAATGTGATGAGATTAAAAAAATAGTTTAAGTTAGCTATTTGTAATAAATAGATGTTATCTTTCTTAAAATACTCTAACTAATCAAATGTGTTGGCTAGAACTATTATTATTAGAATGACTACTTTGGGGAAAAAAAATGCATAAGTATTAGAAACAAAGTGGATTAGAATCTCATATTTAGGATCAAAATCAAAGTCTAATAAGGTCTTATATCAAGGATCAAAGGTAGTAAAAAATAAAGTAAAGGTTGTAGGATATTAAAAAACAAAAGAAAAAAAACTAAAGATCCACAACTGAAAGGATAAGAAGAAAACCCAACAAACGAAAAGGGAATGGAGCCTAAATAACATAAATGTAGACTCAACAAAACCTTTGCCGCAAATCTTAACCCCAAGTCAAAGTCAGAGAAGCTCATGAGCCGTTGTTATGGCGCAAAAAGTGTTAAAAGGAAATGTAGAATATTTTAATAATTGTATGTAATTAAATTTTTTACATTAAACAGGACATTATAATTAGTGGTGGAGTTTATTGTAGCGAATACAATATATTTATGGCTTCATTGTTCATTTTTTAAATTAAAAAGACACTATAATTAGGAAAAACTAGGGGAAAAGTTTCCCATTAAAACTTATATCAGTCAGAATGATTTGATAAATTTTTATATACATAAAAATGTTTTGTAAATTTTATATACATAGAGCTAATAAGATTTGCAAACTTTTCTGCAATTTTTTCTTATAATTATAATTTTCGAGATAACAAATTAACAAATATAAATATCATATAAGTTGAAAATGTCCAGCCTGGTGTGCTGCTGAAGTGGATACCACATAATAAAAATGCTGGGAAACCAATAAGTTGCCATTAAAATAATTGGCGCATTCTTATCATTTGGTTGTTGTGAAGCTAACCTTTTTAAGTTGGTGAGTAACGGAAACATTAGGAAAGATGAAATGTCACTAACACTTTAAAAAGCATTCAAAGCATCCCAACAATTTGGCATGCCATGCACATTCCACTAAGTAGGTGCATCTATCCCCGTTTTTCTGATCTTATCAGTTCACAAATATTTTGGTTTGAAAACTAAATTTGTGATATACTACCTCTCCGATCCTAATTATAAGAGCTAATTGACTAATTTGAGAACATTAAGAAAATAAGTTAAGTTAGTTATTTGTAACAAATAGATATTGTCTTTCTTAAAATATCCTTAGTGTATTTGCTAGAACTACTGTTATTAGAATATATTTATGTATTTTTTCCTAAAGTAATCTTTCTAACAATAGTGGTTCTAGCCAACACACTTGATTAGTAAGGATATTTTTGGAAATATAACACCTATTTATTACAAATAATTAACTTAACTTATTTCTTTAATCTTCTTAAATTAGTTAATTAACTTTTATAATTAGAATCGGAGGTATTATTTTATTATATAAGGATCTACCGTTGAAATTAATAAATTAAAAATTAGTATTGATCCCCTCTAAATGTACCTTCTTTGTTTCTATATACTCTCTCTTAAGTCGCACTCTAAAATGAAGTATTTGTCTTTTGTGATAATTTTCTTGCATTCTTTTTTGTGAGGCTCGTTTGCTAAAATTATCTTTAAAAATCCAATCCAAATACCCTAATATGATTTGGTTTCAATTCTAAAAATTGCAGAAACTGCTAAAATCACTTTTGTGCAGCGAATTTAGATGGATCTATTGCAAATTTGGTTAATCGGACACAAAGTTACGAATGATTAAGGAGAATAGTATTTTTTTAAAAAAAATAAAAATGAAATGTTCATCAGTTCATATGAATAAATATTAGAAAGAGTTATTTCTAATTAGATTTATTAATACTCAGGTAAAAAAATAATTAGATTTATAAATACTTAAATTTTTTTGGTCAAATATAAATGCTTAAATTTGACATATTGAATTAACCTTTTCTTTTCCCTTCAAATTTGCGGCTTAAATCAGAATCTAAAGTAGAAGGGAAGACAACCAAACACGTCTTGATGTTGATGCTTAATTATGTCCCTTTCGAGTTCAAACCCGCGAAAGCAAACCTTCGCCATTTGGTAATATTTATAATTTCAAACTGTGGAAGATTCACAGTAAGGCTGGTTGCGTCAATGATACAAGTAGTTGAAATTTCAGAAGCAAAGGAGGACTTTCCATCTTCAAATTTCAAATCTACAAATCCTCCTGTAGCTTCTTGCTGATTCTGTTAGCGCCAACCTCCCTGAGTTCATATATTGAATTTCTTACTGTTCCTCCATCTCAGATTTCATCCAAATTTAGAATTGTTTCATTATCAATGGTTTTGTGAAGAGGGTGTGTGGGGTTCAAAAATTTCCTTTTCAAGTTTCTCTGGTGTCATCGATCCTGAGCTCCCCATCGTGAATCCCGGGGGACCGAGTAGCGTGAAGCTTATTCATACTGTCTGTTACTTCACTCCTTCTTCAAATTGCTCTTGAAGCCATAGCCAGATTCAATTCCACTGTGATTTAATTTGCTTTTTCTTGGATTACGCCCTTTCTGACATGAAATGAAACCTTCTATTGGTGATGATTTTGACTTGGAAAAAGGGAAGTCGGATAAGGAAAGAGATAAAGTTCAGCGAAATGCCAAGTCAGTTGGAGGCCACAATCAAGCCCTCCTGTCTGGGTTTGCATATTGCCTGTCCTCCTGCAGCATGATATTGGTCAACAAGTTCGTACTTTCTAGTTATGATTTTAATGCTGGAATATCCTTGATGTTATACCAGGTAATTTACTTTAATCTCTTATTAAATTTCTTTTAGCTGTTTATGCAGTGTATGTGTATCTAGCGTAGTTAGTGAAGAAGAAGCTGTACTGGCTTGTGAGTTGTGACACTCTTGTGGTCTGTGGATGCAGAATTTCATTTCAGTAATAGTAGTTTCTATGTTAAGCCTTCTGGGCTTAATATCGACAGAGCCATTAACATGGAAATTGATCAAGGTGTGGCTGCCTGTGAACGTTATATTTGTCGGGATGCTCATTACTAGCATGTTTAGGTATTTAGTTCTGAACCTCGTGGCTAATAATGTGTTTTCTTTCTCTTTCTGAATGGTATTTGTACCATATGATATTTTTCTGGCAGGGATGTGGATGTTTTGTGACTAGTCTTCTGCTACTCATTGTCTCATATGCTTCTAGTTCTTTTAAATTTTAATTTCTTCTTGTGTTTTTTTTGTTCCTATTTTTTTAACTGTTAGGTATTTAAATTCATATAATATTAACCACTAACTTAATGAGTGCTCGGATAGGTTCTTTTTTTTTTTTGGGGGGGGGGGGGTGGTGTTTATTACCAAATGGACACAAGTATGTTGATATACGGGGAAACTTATTCTTGTTTGGGGGAGTGTCAAGGTTCTAAAGAATGCTAAGTTTCTTTTGTCGAACATGTCATCTACGCTTCTGCCAAAGTCAGTTTATAGTCTCTAGACGCGAGGATCAAGTAATTATAGCTGACGACAGCGGAGTTTGTTCATTTCTCTCACTTTATCTTGCTTTGATTGCATTGCTAATAATAGTTTATGCTATGTTGCAGTTTGAAATACATCAATGTAGCTATGGTGACAATCCTGAAGAATGTTACTAATGTCATGACAGCCCTTGGCGAGATGTATTTATTCAGGAAGCATCATGACAGCAGGGTTTGGGCTGCTCTGTTTTTAATGGTATTCTGAACTTGAAGAGCTTGATGTGTGGATCTCATTATGCCTTTTTTTTGGCCACTCACGATCCCCTGGTTTTTGTTCTCCGTGATGCTGGTTGTAATCTAGAATCATGAGTTTCTTCTGCAATACCTGTTCTATTCGGATATTCTTAGTCATGTAATCAGCTGGGTCCTATCTTTTTCAGATCATGACTTAGTCATGTGTTTCTTAATGTCATTTTTCAATGGCTTTATCTTCCTTTCCTTTTTCTAGAGGGTTGTGTCAAAGTTTATGAAGTTTGCACAGCTTTTCCAAATCAAGGAGTCAAATTTTGTATGATATACTTTTGGGACTGCCTGAACTGATGTGTCCCATGTTGGGAACATTATGCTTTTGCCTATGCAATAAGCATTCATGACTGAGTAACTTTCAATGCTTGGCAGCATATTCTGGACGTCTATTTTTTGTTCGATTCATTTAAGTTTTACTTTGAAGAAGATTATCTGCTTAAAACATTACAAGAGAAAACAAAATATGACTAATCAAGGTAATAATCTGAAAAGAGTGTTGCATTTTCTTTTGCAGATCATTTCTGCAATGTCTGGCGGGATTACTGATCTCTCTTTTCACGCAATTGGTTATGCTTGGCAGATGGTTAACTGTTTCTTAACTGCGTCATATTCTGTGAGTATAGCTGACTTGAACCTTAAGCTCTACTGATCTATAAGTGAATCAGTGAATCCAATATCATTTCCCAATACTTCTACATAGATTCGCCTATGTCTCTATCTTGCTAAATTCCGTCAAATTTGTATAAGTATGATGGTCTTATATGTTGGATCACTGATACTTGTGGCTACTTCTCCTATGATCTGAACAATTGAAATTGGTATGATCTGCTTATCAGTATATTCAGTCAAGCCTTTATTCTCAAAGACCCAAAAAAAAAAAAAAAAATTCCTGACGTATCCCTGGTGAGTGTGGAGTCAATGCGTCTTGAGTTTTAAGTGTTTCTTGCTCCAGATGGTTTCCAAACTCATGCTTCTTAATTACTGCTGTATTTTATTATTTTAAACAGCAATGGACCGTCAAACTTTGGTTTCAGTGTAAATGCATTGGATACTATTTTCAAGTCTATATATTTAGATGAGCATTAATTGCTAGCTTTAAGCTTACTAATTATTTGATTGATTTCAATTTGTTGCTCCAGCTGACACTGCGTAAGGTCATGGATACAGCAAAGGTAGTTACAAAATCTGGAAACTTAAATGAGTTTTCAATGGTTTTGTTGAACAATAGCCTTTCTTTGCCCTTGGGATTCCTTATGGTTTTGTTTTTCAACGAGGTGGATTATCTCTTAACAACGTGAGTTTTCTCTCAACTTTCATTAAATGAAGTCAATATTCACTTCTTTGCATAATTACATATTCTGCGGAGCCTGTCTAATTTCATAGGTTAAAATGGATCATCAAGAGTACATCTTAAGTTTGCCCTTTGCTTTGTTTCTTATGTTAACATGTATGCTTAAAGAAATACACCTTTGAATCTCCAGAATAGTGATTTTATGGCAGCCCATCCAGCTTATATTGATGATTAAAATCCTCTTCATACTCTTTTCCATGGGCTGATCTTATTAATATCCAAAACTTGAAATAAATTGCAGGCCACTTCTGAGATTGCCTAGCTTTTGGTTGGTGATGACATTAAGCGGATTTTTGGGTCTAGCTATCAGCTTCACTTCCATGTGGTTTCTTCATCAGACTAGTGCTACAACGTACAGGTAGGTTTAAAAGTAGCCATGCTGTAACCACTTACCAGTTTTGTGTGACAGAAGTAAACTTAACTAATACGTGATAGTTCACTTCTGATGCATTTGAAAAAAAAATTAGAAAAGTGATGCCTCGCTCGCTTTTTTGAGTCATAACTAATTTGAGGCTTTGGCCTTTGTATATAATCTGATTGGGGGTTAATGTTGTATGAATGATGAACTAGGGAATAATCAATGTAGGTGCTGGTGCAGTCAGTTTTTAATAAATCTAGTCTCTTATTCCATGCTATATATCCAAGAAGTATTGTAATTTGGATTAATTGTTTTTTAATATATCTAATCGCTTATTTTGCAATCTGTAGCCTTGTAGGTTCACTGAATAAAATCCCCCTTTCAGTTGCTGGCATCCTACTCTTTAAAGTTCCTACTAGTTTGGAGAACTCTGCTAGCATCTTCTTTGGTTAGTTCTCCGCCTTATGCTCAAGTTGAATTATTATGTTTCTGGGGAAGGAATTCAATTGTTATTACATAGAACATAAGTGCTGGGTTGGATATATTGGATTACACATTTGTTGGCCCCACTGAAGATGAAGTGCAATTTTTGCAGGTCTTCTGGCAGGAGTATTTTTTGCTAGAGCCAAAATGAGGGAGAGATATCAACCTTGAAATTCAAAAGTTAAACTAACTCTCAAACTTCTAATTCTGTAATTTTTGGTTGATTTTTTTTTTTTTTAACTGAGAGAATAGGAGTGAAATAGGTTCTTGAGCAAGATGTGGAATTGCTGTCGCTGGGATAAGAAAAATGTTGTCACTAACTTTTTCCGGTTTGGTTCTGTATCATGTAACAGATTAAAACGTTTGATTTAATATGAAGGATCTCACAGTAATGGAATTGATGAATATTAGCGCAAGAGCAGTGCTTAAACTCTGATTGAGAGTACGATGCATAAATTTCCGCAAAATCCAGGACTTAAGAAATGGTGCTGTTTATATGTTTAAGACAGATTCTTATTCATCTCATAGCACATATGGTCATAGAAGAAAATTATTTAATTCATAGATACCCACAAAAGATTTTAGTTGCTGTCTAAATACTTACTTGTTTTTATTTTTTTTCATTTTTGACTTCAATTAATTGTTTATTTGTGTTCAATGAAAAGTCTACTTATTTATTAGCGGTGTTATAGGGAAAAAAAATATTCTTAATTACTTCTAAAACCTTGTAAAGATTCTTGTAAATTAGGGGTACGACAACTCTCAAAATTGTCTTTTATAATCAATCAATCAACTTATCAACTAGAAAACTCGTAAACAGATTCTGATTGGTGCACCTCAGCAAATAGTCCATTCGTCCACCGTGGATGGGACCACATAATATCATCTTCTTATGTTCTGCTAGGATTTTTGTTGATTTGCAATGCGTTTCATTTCAGTCATTTGTTTTACATTTTCTGCGTCTATTTACTCGCCTACCTTTCAAGTATTGTAATTATTGCATTATACTGTGATTGGTTGCTCATGGAGGTTGCACTGTTTTCCATGATTGCTGGACTATCATACCTTCAACAGTCCTTGTGGCTTATCTTTCGAGACGTCTACTTTTCCAGATCTCATTAATTACTCTGCAAAGTTTCATTTTTTTTTAAATGCTTAGATGTATGGACGTTTAAATAATAATATGATTTTCTTTTGTACTCATAATAAAAATATAAAATGGGGCTTATATCAAATAATATATCTAATATATATTTTCCGACCTTGATATCTAATATATATTGAATCAAATGAAAATTTTATTCCGTGACGGGTAAGTTGAAGAGTCAAATAGAATAAATTAATCAACTATCAATTAGAACTAAATATATATCTAATATATATTGAATATTTCTAGGGAGGTAATACTCATAAATACATCCCCACCTGAACCTTTTTCGAGAAAGATTAAATGCTGGCGATAAAAAAAAGACCAATGTTACTTAAATATTTCTTTCTTATTATTATATACTGGTCAGCAGACCTCCTGACTCCCATCTTTTAATTGCACCTTGAATCTTCTTAACCCTTTAAATGACGTGGGTTGTTATCTATATAATTACTTTTCATATAATCTGATTAATTTTTAATGACTTTAGATTATTTATCAAAAAAAAATGCAGGGCCATTTCAGATTTCCAGTAGATATATTTATTTATACATTTACTGATTCCCCTTCTATATCCTTTAATGCATTGGATACTTCAATCAGCATTTGCCTCTTCGATGTCAGTGCGCATGTTTGCATAACGAGACTGCTAGAGGCCGGCTCTAAGCATATGATCATTCATTATAGTTGGTTATATTATCAACCATGCTAATACACACATCTATTCTCTATGTAAGCAGATATCCAATTCAAACTGAGGCTGCTGATTTACCATACAATCTATCAGGGATCTGTACATTGCGTGGTCTCCACAGCCTAACTTTTAAGGTATCTACTTCCTGTTAAACAGTTATTTCCTTCAAACGTTACCTTATGTTAGGCCCTCAAACATTTCTCTCCTTCAACTAATTTGTGCAGGTCAGTACCATCACAGCAACAAATGGCAAACTTCGATCATGATCTCATCAAAGATGTAGATGATTCTAAAGATACCTGGTGTATTGTTGCGAGAGTGCTGAGAAAATGGATTATGGCTAAAAAGACACCGCCTTTTGATATTTTTAAAGTAGGGATGATTTTAGTTGATGAACAGGTTTGACAAAAAATGGAACTTTATTTTCGATTCTCATATTATTTGTCTTCTGTGGCTCTCATTGTAATGAAAACATGCAGGGGTATAGAGTTGAAGCTTTTATGTCCCAGAAAGCACAATTACAAAGATACATGGATGAAATAACAGAGGGTGAAGTATATCAGTTTGAGAACTTTGTAGCTGTGCCCAACAATGATGCTTTCAAACTTTGTCATCACACTTGGAAGATTCGTTTCCACTCCATGACGTTTTTCCAAAAGCATGACTTAGCAGTCCCTTTAAATGCATTTAACTTTGTTCCAATAAAGGATATTGCTGACTATAATGCTACAAATTATGAATTGATTGGTTAGTAATCATATCCTTCCCATGTTTGTTCACTCCTTTATGTTTTATTCTAATCGTATGAAAAAAAAATTGCAGATGTCATTGGGTTCCTTCAAGCATTTGGAAACTTGGTTGACCACAAAAAAGACTCACAGACCATAAAGACACTGAATTTCACCATCGCTGATCATAAGTAACATCACTTCAGTCACAAACTCCTCTGAATCATTCATAATAAGATACATTACTGCTTCGTTGTTCAGTTCATTTTTTATTAGACCTTAATTTAATGCAGCCAAATCCCCATTAACGTGGCTCTTTTCGGAGATGTGGCAATCAATGCATTTGAAGCTAGGACTGATGATTTGGAAGTTCCTACTGTAGTTGTCATCCGATTTGCAAGGATATCAACAACTAAAGGTATTTGCTTATTGCGAAAATAATGACTTCAAGTTATATTTGGATGTTATATTCTGTACTTACCTCCCTGTATTTATTTAAGGTTACGGACATATAACTAATGCTTTCCATGCTACAAGAGTTTTGTTCAATCCAGACCTCCCTGAAGTCAGAGAATTAATTGCCAGGTTTACTCTTACGTTGATTGTCTTTGTCGCTTTTTATATCTAAATTATGCAACTGTTTGACAAATGTTAGTATTCATTATAAATCTGAATATGTCTACAGACTCGGTGAGACACCTGGAGCAAGTCAGAACTTCTCACAAGTTTCATCTACCGTAATGCTTGATGCTACCAGTACTCACTCCTGACTTTCCCAACCAGAATTCCCCTTTCTGAAATTTCCAAACTCACAAAGGTTGATATTATCCTTTTCTTTCAATTTGTCACACATTTAGACATCACGAATTAATATAGTCTTGCCATTATAATTCAGATAATTATTGTCTCTTCAGTTAATCACATATATATCACATTCACCAAATTAGTCATTAATCATACACCTATATATTAAATTTAATTATAAATTTATTTTCTACCTAAATAGGAAAGTCAAATTGTCACCAAGGTCACCATCCAGAAAGTTGAGAGTGAGTATGGTTGGACCTATGATGGATGTCCATGCGATAAAAAACCAGTGCATGTTGATGATAAATTGATGAAGTGTACTTCTTGTAATCAAGAAGTGCTTAAGACTGAACCCAAGTACGTATAAAGTTATTCATTGTCATTGAAGTCCATACTTCATCTCCATCGTTTATATAATTAGTTGTTCATTTGTAAAAGGTTCAAAGTCCATTACAAAGTATTTGATTCCACTGGACAATGTTCGATGCTTTTCTTCAACCGGCATGCATCTGCTCTATTAGAATGTTCAGCTTCTGAACTTAAGAAGAAGGTATCATGGGTTTATACCTTTGGATGTTGTCATTCTTAGTCTAAACTGTCTTGCTGTCATTTGAATTATTTTGTTGATAAATTATGATATCAGGTGGGGTCGTCTCGATCTTTTCCAAAAGAGTTAGATCGACCTGTTGGAAAGGAAATTGTCGTAATGGTCAAGGTTAAGGAAAACAACATAAAATATCCTGCCAGTAGTATGGGAGTGTCACAGTTCTCTGTGAAAAAGGATATTTTGGATCAGTTCACATACTCTAATGTCAGCGCTGATGCCAACGCTAATGTCAAGGTCAGGAGACTATAATCTATTTTAATTGGATTATTAAATTCTACATGTCATAGCATATTTTCCGGCGTCATTCTTAATAGTTCGTTCAATTATTTTACCATACCATCATCATTCTCCATCACATTTTTCAAAAATACCCTTAATTCTCTTCCCACTATTCTACTGGACAGAATTCACCAATCGAGTCATCTTCCTCATACTCATCTCCCAAGATGCTTGGCACTCACAACATTGCGGATGATGATGATGATCTTACAATATCTCAGATAATCACACCTGTGGAGACCTTGTCAAAGAAAAAGAGGAACGGGAAAAATGAATCAGAACAACTTGATGATATAGGCCTCTCCGAAGGGTCCCCTCCAAGCTTCAGCAGCACCAAACCGGCAAAGAAGATCAAGAAGGAGAAATGACTAGCTATATCTGAAAATTTAATTGGGAACATCTGGACTTTTAAATTGTATTAAATTTGGCTTTAATTTTTTTGGCAAAAATGTTCGCTTTGAGTTTCATCCGGACTGCATTTTTTGGACGTGTTTTGTGATACTAAATCAATTAAGTGTTCATGAGTCTTCGTTGGAAGATGTTTATTGATATCAATCTACCATTTCATTGTTATAGTTGCTATCTAATCGTGTTTTAATTTCAAATATTTTGTCACCTTTTTATAGGAATTTCCACACTTTATGGTCATAGTTGCATCAGGCTTACTAAACTTTCAATTTTTTAAACTGGAGTTGCGAAATAGTTTGCATCATTTGATTGAAAATTATTTTTACTTCCTGTTTAAAAAATATAACTTCTAGGTGTCAAAAGCTGCTTTCCTAGGTACGATTGTAAAAATACCCAAAACTTACTTATAACTTACGCAAAAGTAGCTTATTAGAATTAAAAGATATTTTTACTCTTATGTTTATATTATTCTTATGCTTATCTCTATATACTTTTTGTGTTTCCGAATCAGTTTTCAATTATTTATTTTTATTGAGTAAAAATAATTTTAATATTTTTAATTTTTAATATTATTTTTTATTTTACATTTACATAAATTATGCAGAATATAGCATCTAATTAATTATGTAATATTATTAGGTTCAAAAATCTTCACATTACTATGATTTGTAATTTAAATATATTTTATTCATTAAATATAATTTGTCCTTATTATAATAATTTAAAATTTAAAATTATTATATTTTGTAAATTCATATTTTAAATTATTTTTCATTTTCAATAAACGTCGTAGCCAAAAAATGGACCATGATTTTTCCAATCGGGTTTACACTACAAATAAGCTACTTTTAAACCCCCCAAAAGCCCGCCAAACGGACCCATTGTGATATATGCCTGGTGAATCACTTTCTATTAATCTAATAAATGCTTATTTATTGCATTTTAAATATATGAATTAATAGCATATTTAATCGCGTCACACGCAAAACTCAATGGAAATAATTAATAGTATAAATGTGAAGATTTTAATGCTATAAATCATTTCATGGAATTTATGAATTCGATGACGAGGGATTTCACACTGTTGGCTTACAAACTTGAATTGGACCATCCAAATGAATCGTACTGTAAGCATTTATTGATTTTCTTATTTCCTTTCCACAGCCAATTCTCGCTCTTGTATTGTCTATATTTTACTTCATCTTCCATAAATTAAAATAAAAATACTTTCATATGTATCAACAAAATTGTTAATGAACACAATAACTTTTTGTTCCGTGACGGGTAAGTTGAAGAGTCAAATAGAATAAATTAATCAACTATCAATTACAACTAAATATTTCTAGGGAGGTAATACTCATAAATACATTCCCACCTGAACATTTTCCGAGAAACATTAAATGCTGGCGACAAAAAATAAAACCAGTGTTACTTAAGTATTATATACTGCTCAGCAGACCTTCTGACTCCCATCTTTTAATTGCACCTCGAATCTTCATAACCCTTTAAATGACGTGGGTTGTTCCCAGTTGGCAAACAGAAAAATAACCTACTGTGTATCCAAAATTGTATTATAGTACTTTTCCCATGTGCGCCATAAGTAACTTGTCTCCTGTGGCTATTGAAGTCAATATTGCCCATGCATTGAAAGACGTTTCGCCAATGTCAACTAACGAAGTAACTTTCTGATTTCCATCCTTTCCATGTCTTTTATATCCTATTCTCATATCTTGATTAATACACTTGAACGTACTTCTTTCATCTTAACACTATACATGGGAAGGATAAGGAAGAATGTTGGTTGCACTACAGCGTCTCGGCCTGAAGGTTAGACAATCCATCTCTCTCCTGAAAGTCATCATAGTGACCTTGCTTTACTGTATTGTTTTTATTTCACAAATACTTTCGTTTTCTGTAATTACAGGAAGCAGTACTCATGCTGCACAACACCATGATGTCATTGAAAGTTCTCCCGTGGATATTTATATTCAAACGAAAAGAAAGAAATCTGTATCCTCAGCAGTTATGGAAGGAATATCGGAATCTGCACATGGTAAAAGACAAAGTGGTCATGCTAATATATATGGCTATCTCAACAGCACTGATCAGTTAGAACAATCCACTCATTTCGGAAGTACCTCTGCCTATATTGCACCTACTTATCAAGCGAAACTTTCTACCCAACTTCGTGGAAGCTCCACTTCAGCCATGACAACTTCAACGAGGATTGCATCCAAAGATATCACAGATTATGGAGGAGTAAGTAAACCACAACATCCAGGTATCTGTGACAGAACAATTGAACAAAACACTCAGCAGCCAGCAGATTTATCGTATTTGAGACACAATGGTAGCACGGCTACTGTGAATTGTTCCAGACTTTGCAACATTACCAATTTAGCAACTAACCTTTCTCCCAAGCTTGATAATGCTGTTGGTGCAGGTTATAATTTCATATATTTATGGGTATCTTTCTCTCACTAAATTATTCATATGTGAGGATTAATTCTTTTTATTTTAAATTTGCAGACGAAGATGAAGCGAATGGTGACTCAGATTGTGAGGTTGACGTCGTAGATATAAATGATTACGATAACGTCGATCTATCCACAGAAGGCTATATTGATGAAGGTGATGCAGATTATGTGTGCCATTATTGTGGTGCTTTGATGTGGTTTAACGAAAGGCTTAAGAGAGCTCCTTCCAATGAATATCCTTTGTTCTCTATTTGTTGCTGCCATGGCAAAATATTGGTTCCTCTTATGCAGCCTCCACCAGAAACATTTCGTAAACTTTTCTTTGACAAAGATAACCCACAATCAAAGCGTTTTTTGTCAAATATAAGGGCATACAATAACATGTTCTGTTTCACTTCAATGGGTGGAAAGATAAACCATTCTATTAATAACACTGGAGCAGGTCCCTATTCTTTCGTTATGTCTGGTCAGAATTACCACTTACTAGGAAGCTTGCTACCTCCTGAAGGATCTCAGCCAGTCTACTCTCAGCTCTATATATATGATACTGAAAATGAAATATCTAACAGAATATCCGTTGTCAGGTATGACCAACTTATAACTTTATTTAATGTCTATATCATTAGCTTGAATTTCTAATCATAATTTCTAATAAATTATTGCAGTCCTTATCAATAATATACTTTGTCAGCCTTAATATTTGTACTGTACATATAAAAAACATCGCATGAATTAATAATAAGCAATGAAATTATTATTGATATTGCCTTAGATTTAAATGTCCCAATAAATTAAGGCCGAACTATCTCCGCATAAGTGATCCATAAAATGTGATACTAACTTTCTCAAAAGAAAAATCAGTTTGCCGTTATCATTGCTACTTAAACATTGTTTAGACATTGGGACTTCTTTTGTGAAACATTATTTGTGTTCTTACTAACAACACTAACTCTTCTGTTCAGCAAGCATTGTCATAGGTCTGCAATTGATCAAGGAATTACACAAGAAATAAAGGATTGTCTTGACAAACACAATGGCCTTGTCATTAGTTATCGGATGGCATCTGAAATTCTCAAGCGTGACCAGCATTCTAATGTCAATATTCGTCTCATTAGGAATTCAGATCACAGTGATAGGGTCTATGATATGCCAACAGCATCTGAGGTTGCTGCTTTACTGGTTGGAGACTTTGATAGATCATATTTCAAACGAGACATAATTGTTGAGAAAAGAGCTGGAGCGTTGCAAAGAATTGATGAATTGCACAAAGCATACATTCCCCTGCAATATCCTATTATTTTTCACTATGGAAATAATGGATATGATTCAACCATTAAACATAGTGAAACCACTCTTACTCAGACTAAAAAGAGGAAGACTCTAACCCCACGGGAGTACCTATCTTTTAGATTGATGGATAGAAATAATGAGCAGTCTGTTTTGCTACACTCCAAAAGGCTACTTCAACAATTCATTGTTGACGGATATACAATGGTAGAGAGTGAAAGACTCAATTATATCCGTAATCATCAAAAAGAGCTACGGGTGGACATGTACAGAGGTCTCACTAATGCACTCACCAGGGGTGAGACAGATCCATCTCGCACAGGAAAAAGGATTATACTTCCATCCTCATTTACTGGGGGAGCCCGATATATGGTACAAAACTATCAAGATGCAATGGCACTATGCAAATTTACTGGTTATCCTGACTTATTTTTAACTTTCACATGCAATCCAGCATGGCCAGAAGTAAAGAGATTCTGCAACAGGCATAAATTAAATCCAGCTGATCGACCAGACATATTATGCAGAATATTCAAGCTGAAGCTTGAAGCGTTAATGAAAATCATTAAGGAACAAAAAATTTTTGGAAAAGTAAGAGCAGGTAATATTTAATCCTCCTATCGGTGTGTTATTTTCTATATATTTTTGCCAATCTACTATCATAGCATAGTTAATTGAAATTCATAAATAAATTTACTATTGCAATTGGTCCTCACTATACTGTTTGCAATACTTTTGTTACTTAAAATCATGCGTCTCATTTTATATATTGAGTAATGCAGATTGCCTTTTTTCTCCTTGTGTTAATATATTGACTTTTAATTTAAATATATTCATAAGAACTATGTTTATTTTATTTATTCAAGTTAGGAAGTAGCGGGTTACCATAAAAACTTTTTCTAAGCTTTTATTTTTATTATTTTATCATGTGTTTGTCACAGTAGAATTTGTTTCCCAACTTTTATCAAGGTAGAATAACTTTTGACTAAGTAGAATAAAGTAACATTTAAATGCATTATACAAACATGCATAAATATACTTAAAATTTGCATGCATACTTTCAGTCATTATACACAAAATTATGCTTTTAGTTGAGTCGCCTAACCAAATTGTGATATGACAAAATGACTTTCTTAAACATTAAATAATAATTACGTTTTCCTCCTGCAGAAATTTATACTATTGAATTTCAGAAGAGAGGTTTGCCACATGCTCATATTATTCTATTTCTAGATCCTTCTGACAAACCAAACACTCCTGATGATGTAGACAAAATGATATCTGCAGAAATACCAGATAAAGAGAGAGATCCATTACTATATGATCTTGTCAGCAATTACATGATCCATGGACCGTGTGGAGCTTCTAACAAGAGATCTCCTTGCATGAAAAATGGGAAATGCTCTAAGTACTTTCCCAAAAAATTTGTTAACCAAACCTCGATAGACGAGGAGGGTTACCCTACATATAGGAGAAGAAACGATGGAAAGACTGTTAATAGGAAGGGTATTCCATTGGATAATAGATATGTTGTTCCTTACAATGCGACTTTGCTGAAGCTATTTCATGCCCACATTAATGTTGAGAAAACAAATCAATCAACTGCAATAAAATATTTGTTCAAGTATGTTAGTAAAGGAAACGATCGAGTTGTTGCTGGCATATACAACAATGATCACTATGACAATGGAAACAATGGTTTCGACGAGATCTCTCATTATTTGAACTGTAGGTACATTTCTTCCTGTGAAGGTGCATGGCGTATTTTTTCATTTGATATCCATCATAGATATCCCTCTGTAGAGCGCTTGAGTTTTCACTTACAGGATCAACAGGCTGTTTTCTATTCAGACAAGGAATCAGTTAGCTCATTAGTTCGCAGACCCAGAATTAAGGAATCAATGTTTCTTGCATGGATGGAACGAAATTTAGATGATCCATTTGCCAGGACTTTGACATATGTTGAGTTTCCACAATATTATACTTTTAACAAGCAAAAAAGAATTTGGAAGTTTAGAGAAAAGGGATTTGCAGTTGGGAGGTTAGCACATGCATCGCCCTCTCAAGGTGAAATATACTACCTTAGAGTACTATTGACAAAAGTAAAGGGACCTCACAGTTATGAACAGATAAGAACTGTAGATAATGTTGTCTACCTAACTTTTCGATCTGCTTGCTATGCTCTTGGATTAATTCATGATGATCAAGAGTTCATTGACGCGATAAAGGAAGCATCATTTTGGGCTACAGGATGTTATCTCAGGAGATTCTTTGTGTCCATGCTACTATGTCATTGCATATCACAACCACACCTGATATGGGAACAAACAAAAAATCTCTTATCTGAGGACATGTTCTACGTACCTCGAAATAACCCTAGGTCTGCAGGTAAATTCAACTACAAAATACTTCTATGCAATTTTCATAAACATAAAGTTTGTTTTGTCTTCTTCAATTTATAACATTACTATTGATTGAATGAAACAGATTTAAACATAAGTGATGATGACAAGCAACAGGCATGCTTGATTGAGATTGAGAAGTTGCTACAGATAAATGGCAAATCTCTCCATGATTACCCATTAATGCCAACGGCAATATCTACCGAGTATTTTGATATCAGGAATCATTTGGTCCTTCAAGAATTAAACTTTGACAGAGATATGTGTCAGAGAGAAGCGGATAGATTGGTAGCATTACTGACAGATGAGCAGAATACTATATTCCAGCAAGTAATGAATGCAATGAACCATCCAAATGATGAGTTCTTTTTTGTGTATGGTTTTGGTGGTACAGGAAAAACTTTCTTATGGAAAGCACTCACTGCATCAGTTAGAGCTCAAGGTGGAATAGTGATCAATGTGGCATCCAGTGGAATAGCTGCAACCTTATTACCATCAGGTAGAACTGCACATTCAAGATTAGCAATTCCAATTGATATTAATGAAGACTCCACATGTAACATATCACAAAATTCACCATTGTGCGACCTCATCAAATTCGCAAAGTTGATTATTTGGGACGAAGCTCCAATGGTCAAACGTTTTTGTATAGAAGCTGTTGATCGGACCTTTAAAGATATTATGAAGTGCAACCATCCCTTTGGAGGCAAATGTATTGTCATGGGAGGAGACTTCCGACAAATATTGCCTGTGATCCCGAAAGGTAGTCGTGCGGATGTCATCAATTCATGCATCAACTTTTCTCATTTATGGTGTCATTGCAAGTTATTCCAACTTACAAAAAACATGCGGTTATCTACAAGTTCATCCACATATGATTCAAGGTTACAACAATTTTCAAATTGGCTTTTAGACATCGGTGATGGCCAGATTGGATTGCCTCATGATGGCATGGCAGAGATAGAAATCCCAAATGATCTTCTAATTCTAGATTCTCATGATCATCTTCAATCAATCGTGCATGCCACATATCCTGATCTATTAGATCATTTGACTGATTCAACATATCTAACTAATAGAGCTATTCTGGCACCAACAATTGAAGTTGTTGAGCAAATTAACGATTATATGTGTTCCTTACTACCTACTGAAGTTGTTGAATATTTTAGCTCTGATTCTGTTAGTACTGTTGATCAAGGCAACACCTCATTCCAAGAGTTGTATACAACAGAATTCTTGAACACAATAAAATGCTCTGGCTTACCTCCACATAGACTTGCCTTGAAAGTAGGAGTTCCTATAATGCTCATGAGAAATATAGATCAGGCTGCAGGACTCTGTAATGGCACAAGACTGAGGATCACATTTCTTGGTAAACACTTTATTAAAGCAATCGCTCTCAATGGCACAAGTCAAGGTCAAGAAGTTTTGATCCATCGAATGGATATGAATCCATCAGAATCTAAACTACCATTCACATTGATAAGAAGGCAATTTCCCATCATCCTATCATTTGCTATGACAATCAACAAGAGTCAAGGACAATCAATGACCAATGTTGGCCTATACCTTCCTAGACCTGTCTTCACACATGGCCAGTTATATGTTGCTCTGTCAAGAGTTAGATCTATGGATGGCATCAAAATTCTAATACTTGATTCAGAGAAAAAGCCAACCAACAAGACGATGAATGTGGTCTATAGAGAAATATTTCAAAACATTGTGTGAAGCTCATTGGTAATTTATCCCATACATGTGATTCATTGTTAACTCTAAATGCCTTTCTACTTGATTGAAATTATGTACTTTATATCTTACATTCATTAATTTCTTCTGCATATTTCTACAGTGATGGCTACAACATCTTTCCAAGATGATCAGCTGGAGATGACACTATTCCACTACCAGTCATGTATCTCAACCTAAGTGTAAGTCAATGACACCTACTAAGAATTTTTAGAAACTAATGTGAATAGTGCTTTCTCCCAAGTTGATCAAACTACTTTCCTTACCTTTGTTGTTAATGATTAAAAAAAAGGTTCTTCATTTATTTCCTAACCTATGGCGCAATTCATTACATTAAAAGTTTCAAACAATAGATATTCTACATATGAAAAATCAAATTACAAATTATCTTATTCAATGGATTGATTCACAGGAAAGCAAATATGGTCGCTGATTGGGTCGCCATGTGTCCTTTTTTATTGGGTGATTAAACCTCCACTGCCTGTGTCAAAATTATTACTCTTTGATTTTAAAAGAGACGCTATAGTGACAGGATGAAGTTATTGTTGTTTGTTATCTTAATTTCTTTCATTATGACATTAAATCTTTTTCGATTTTACAAAATGTGAATATTACCTCATGCTTCAATTCATACTTTTCCATTTTCAATTGCTTTTATGGTTGATACTTCTCAGAATATCACTTCCCGTGCAACGCACGGGGGAGAAATCTAGTTAGATATCATATGAGAATGAGAAAAGAAAGCATATTGGGCCATTAAGATATGAGATGAGTTAGTAAACTCCCAATCTTCCGACCTCAGAATTCGGTTTACATATGAGCCGAAAAACAAAACATTCTATATTTTTTGTGGGCTATATTGGTCTGGGCGATACCACCTTGGACCATCCATTTGTGGCCACAGCCCAAGCTCGCTCGCTCTCTCTCCCCACCTCCCAACGTAAGGCAATTTATTATTGAGAAAAAGAAAAACTATAAATAGGAAAAAATTATCATATATCAAAATTTAAAATATACTCCTATAACCTTTAACATAAGACCTATTTAACTAATTTGATTAGATTAAAGAAGTTAGGTAAATTAGTTAATTATAAGAAATATGACACGTTTTTCTTAAAATACCATAATCATTTTTCTTAATACCCATCTTCCTCTTCTACTTGATTATGATTGAGGGAGTATCCATATATGTAATTTAGAGAAAATTGATAAATATGAGAAATGGGTCTTATATTTAAGACCAAAATCAAATCAACAATTGGGTCCTATATTAGGGACCAGAGGGGTATTATTTATAACTGAAAAAAAGTATACCTATTTAATTTAAATCGAAAAAAGAAACTTGCTAATTTTTTAGAAATGTTTTTATATTTTACAGACAATCATTTTCTTTTTAAATTTTTAGTATTTAATTTTTTATTTAATCTAGACCCAGAAAAACGTTACGTAATGTTTTGGGAATAACGATTGTCCCGTTTCTCGGTCATTCCAATTCCCAGGTGAGCCTGGATTTTCATATCCCCTAAACCCTTCTTCTGTCTCTCTAGCAAGGATGAGCAGTCACCGCAGCAGGGATTCCTAGCAGAGCAGAAAATGATTCTTCTTCCTCCAAATATCCATTTTCTGTTTCGTTAGCTTAGCTGCTGAGAAATCTCCGCAATATTCATTATTTAATTCTCTACGTCATATTGATTATCGGGTATTCCGTGCTTCCTGGATTTGTATTGAACTTCTGCGAATTTCTGTAGCAGCAGTCTTTTCTATTTGTGCTGTCAGAGCTGCTGAATAAACTGGTTAGAATTTTTGTTTTGAGCCTCTTTCAGTTTCGTGCTGTGGTTTATTGTTAAACTTGTTTTGCAGTCGTGGCTTTGAATATCCGATATTAGTGGGGCGGGTTATAGCTATGAGCACATGGCTATAATTGAATCAATTGGCGATATTCCTTTGCAAGACCCATCCGAAGAGGAGTTTTGTTCTGCGGATTTGACATGGACCAAGTTTGGCAATGCCGAGCACCATGATGATGTTGCTCTTATTCCGTATGAACGAGTTGATTCTTTTATAATTGGTGAATGTTCTAATGTGCAATGCCCAACACGGTTTCATATTGAGAGAGGAAGAAAACGGTCCATGGGAAGCTTAAAAGAATACAAGGACGATGAGTATCTGGAATATAGGCTGTAAGTCTAACTTTCTAGTAGGCCTCTAAGCCTATAATAAAGACATTCATTTAGTCAAATGTTTGATTTATTGTGATTAACTGGCTGTTTTTAGTGAAAACTTAAGCAATTTTTTGTTCGTTCTTTTATTGAGTAGGATCTTTGAAGGTTTGAAATCATTCTTCCCTTTGAAGTTACCTAATGTTTTAGCATGCTCACAGAATCAAACTTTGTCTATAGTTTTGCTCTTCCGGCTGCTATCCTATTTTTGGCCTTATGCTTCGGTTATTGTCTAGGCTTAGAAAGCAACAGCTCACGTCTGAATAGCAACGAAATAATTTAAATATGGCTGACTGACCATTAGGTCATTAATATTTGCAGTGCTTATGTTTTAACTTGAGTCTTGTTGTTTGTGAAGGTACTGGTGTTCATTTGGTCCAGAAAATTATGGGGAAGGTGGAGGTATATTACCTAGTCGGAGATATCGACTCAACACCCGAAATCGTGCTGCTAGACCTCAATCAATGAGGGGTTGTACTTGTCATTTTGTTATCAAACGACTTTATGCCCGTCCATCACTTGCCCTTATCATATACAATGAGAGGCGTCACGTTAACAAGTCTGGTTTTGTCTGCCATGGTCCACTTGACAGAGATGCCATAGGACCAGGTGCCAAGAAAATTCCATATATATGTAATGAAATTCAGCAGCAGACAATGTCTATGATTTATCTGGGCATTCCTGAAGAAAATATCTTGGAAAAACACATTGAAGGGATTGAGCGTTATTGTGGTCCAAATGCAAAAGTCAATAGCCTTGCTTATCAATACGTCCACAAACTAGGGATGATCATTAAAAGGTCCACCCATGAGCTGGATCTAGATGATCAAGCTAGCATACGCATGTGGGTTGAGCGGAATAAAAAGTCCATATTTTTTTATCAGGATACTTCAGAGTCAGACCCTTTTATCTTGGGGATCCAAACAGAATGGCAGTTGCAACAAATGATCCGATTTGGTCATCGCAGTCTTGTTGCGGCTGACTCAACCTTTGGCATAAAGAGACTTAAAGTAATTAATTTGTGATCTAGATTTTTCATTTTTCACAATATCTGAGTAAGAACTGTGAGTAGTCCTAACGTAGTTATTGTTTCCCAATGGCAGTATCCCTTATTCTCACTTCTTGTTTTTGATTCAAGACAACATGCACTTCCAGTTGCATGGGTAATTACACGTAGCTTTGCAAAGCCTGATGTGTCTAAGTGGCTGAAAGCTTTGATCAGTCGAGCTCATAGTGTTGAACCTGGTTGGAAAGTCAGTGGATTTTTAATTGATGACGCAGCAGCTGAAATTGATCTTCTGAGGCAAGATTTATTGCTTTACAGATGAGTTTGGCTGGAAGTTTGATTTAAATTATGTGATAATATATAATTGTCTTACTGTACCTGCTTTCTACAGAGATACATTTTGCTGTCCTGTCCTATTTTCATTTTGGCGAGTTCGGAGATCATGGCTAAGGAATATTGTTAAGAAATGCAGTAACATTGAGGTCCAGCGGGAGATTTTTAAGCGTCTTGGGACTATAGCATACAGCATTTGGCATGGACTTGATGTATCTGTTGCCTTGGAACAATTTTTATTGGATTTTGTTGACCAAAAGGCCTTCATGGAATACTTCAAGGCTTCATGGGTTCCTAAGCTTGGTTAGAATATATCCTCTTTTCCATGCGAACAAAATTAATTGCCTAGTTGGGCACATTGATATGCATACCTTGGAATTTTTGCTTCTGAAGTTATTTGTATGCTTGTTCATTATGTTCTAATTTGCTTTTCTCCTCACCGTGCTCTTCTGGTTTGAGCAGAAATGTGGCTTTCAACAATGAGAAATCTTCCTCTGGCTAGCCAAGAAGCTTCTGGTGCGATAGAGGCCTATCATGTGAAACTGAAAGCCAAACTTTTTGACGATTCACATCTTGGAGCGCTGCAAAGAGTTGATTGGTTAGTGCACAAGTTGACAACTGAGTTGCATTCAAGCTACTGGCTTGACCGTTATGCTGATGAAAGTGATTCTTTCCAGAACGTAAGGGAGGAATATGTTGCTTCTACATCATGGCATCGTGCATTAAAAATTCCTGACTCTGCCATCACCTTGGATGATAAAGACCGTCTCTTTGCAAAAGTTGTAAGCCAGAAAGACAGCAGTATAACACATTTAGTATGGAATCCAGGATCAGAATTTGCATTCTGTGATTGCTCTTGGTCAATGCAAGGCAATCTTTGCAAGCATGTCATCAAGGTGAACATGATTTGTGAAAATCTTCAAGGTTATCAACCCTCCATGTCTTTTCAGTCTTTTAAAGAGGTTTTGATGGATCTGTGGGCAAAACCAACAGATGATTCAGTTGCCTTGGATTTGTCAGTGGCTTGGACCCATCAGATGCTAGATCAAATTCAAAAACTTGTTGAACTGAATAACTCTATTGATATTAGCTCTGTTGTTAACAATATGCCTTTGAAATGGGTTGCCAGGAGGTTAAGAACCCACATTGGCAGACGATCAACAACGTTAGCTCTTCCTCCTGGTAACAGTAAAGCAAAAGGTGGCGTTGTGCAAAAGAAGAGGCGGAAGAGAAGAAGATTGTCACGATTAAGATGACTTCTTTGGTTGGTTGATATTGAGCTTGTTCTGGGATGTTTTGGACTGATGATTGGTGGATTCCTCTTAAAAAGTTTATATACTTGTTCCTCTTCACATCAACTTGAAGCATCCATTGGATACAAGTATATACCCGGTGATTATGCTTGATGAGCCTTCAGGCGGACTTTCAAGTGATCGCCTAAGATAAAGTATCTGTCAACATATATTGAAAATTGGAAGGAATTTTGTTAGTTTGATAATTTTCTGCCCCATTTTTTATACAGCTAAGTGGCAAATAGCAGATTCTTTAATTTCTCCACCATGCCAAATCCTCTCTCCTGAACTCTGAAGTTTGTTGGAGTACATAGTCAACTCTCAATGAGTAAGAAAGAGAATGGTGTAAGCTAATTCCATGTTGTTTATCTTCCCTAATTTTCATGTCAAGAATATTGTATATAGATTGATTATTGGCATATTCTTTGAAGTTGAAAGATTCATACATTTGCTGCGAGTTCTTGGCTTTATTCCTCTGTTGCGAATTTAGTAGAAACGTAAAGTATATCAATGCTGATGTAGAAAATCTTTCAAAAAACGCGTCTATGGAACAATCTGACAGCATCGAATCTCCATCGTTACAACTTTTTTTAGTACTTCTGACAGATAATGTGGGAGCCTGCTCTAATGAGTGCCCCATAATCTTTTATAAAACTGCACATTGGAATACAAATTTGGTACAACGATTTACGTGGCCCACGAACTCATTTCACCAACGTAAACTTACACATTCATTCAATAAATAGTAAAACTGTTAAAAAAAAATTCCACTATAATTTTGGAACTGACGTGACAATAGTTTGATATGGCTAAAAGTGAATGTTGTCCAATCCTGACAAACTCAAATCGTTAACGTTGTGAATTTCTGAGGCAGAGAGTGATGTAAGTCTTATCTTTAGCTTCTCTATTGATTCCAATGTGTTATCAAATGCTGCAGAAGTGAAGGATACCAACCCTGGATTTTGGCTGCTGTACACTGAGATAACTGTAGCAGCTTCAAAGCCTCGATTCAGAATGAAGTGGAGCAAAGCCTTAGGAAACACAAACACTTCGCCTGCAGAGAGAAACTTCTGAAAAAGCTGGTTTTTGGTGTCGAGGAATCCAACCACCAATTTACCTTTGGTGACAAAGATGACCTCAGTAGCTCTTGGATGATAATGAGGAGTTATAAGACCATCTGCGTCAATATCAATTCTGCCGATGGAGAGTCCAAGAGTGTTCAGACCTGGAAACTCTGAAGCACCCACAATCTTCATGGACGAAGAGAAAATGTTGTCAGTAGAACCAGCTTCGCTCAATTCTGAGGTTTTAAAATCTTGAGCTGTTGTATTCTCTGGGTTCTTGCAGGGAAGACCATTGATGAATATTGTCTGCTTTTCAGGAGGAACTGCTGGACAAGAGTCTTGTAGATTATCACAGTCTGCCAAGCAAACCTGGATGCTGGTGAAGACAATAAAGAACACAAATGAAAGAAGGTTCAAGTATTTCATCCTGAATCTCCAATTAGCTGATTATCGTCTTGCTCTATTGTCTATAATGAAAAATCAGGTAGTTTTCTTCCAATATATATGTGTGTGAGTGTGTGGTCGCTATGAGACCTTGATGTGTTAGTTATGGAGTTGCAAGAAATACAAGTTATGGCAGTCTTGGAGTTCACTACCGGTTTTTGCAACTAGGAAGTGCATTGCTTGCAAGAAACATAATCAAATTTATTGGGTCCTGCCCTGAAGTCCTATACCTGTAATTCAAAGACTGATCTTTGATGGCTTGTCCATTATCTTTGAGACCTGAAGGCCCAGTAGTGCGAAAATTACATTTGTGTGCCACTATATTAAAATTAACATTCATTAATGTAGCGGTAGATGCTATATGAGGAATGGCTTAGTTGTTGAATAATTGTCAGAGGAAAACAGGTATCCACTTTTAAAGGGTCAAATTCAAAGAAGATATGCTGTCAATTTTTAGGCTATGTTTCTATTTAGGATGAGTTATATCAGACGTGAAGTACAAGGTTCTGACTTCTGATGTAGAAAGCAAAGTATACAATTTGTATTGATTTTGAATCATCCGCAATTACATATTATAGAATAATAGGAGAGTATATGATTTTTTTTTCAAATAAAAAAAAAAAAAGAAAGTGTGCATGAGGTTTATTGTAACCTCTTTTCACATTCATATGTTGTTTGTAGCGCTATCCAATATTTTATTTATTAAAGAAAATTCTAGCTTCTTTCTGTTCAAGCAAAATTGAAGATCAATTGACACTTTAAGATTAAGTTCATAGGGTCAATCTAGAGGAATCTGCTTTGAAGCTCATATCTGTCGTACATTTGCAACTCCATTAACTTCCAAATTATTGTTGTAACAAAATAATTCATCAATCTTACCCAACAATTTAAACTTTTGAACTAAAATTGTCTTTTCTCCTGGCATTCAAATTCGGTTAAGTTACTTTTAGCATCCTTATTTTGTGCACCCAGTATTTTAAAATATTATATTTTTCAATAAGATTCGGTATCTTAATTCTAAAACATAGGGTACTCATTACTATTAAGAAAATAAGGGGAAAATTACACTAAAAATTACTTTAAACTACTAATAATTTCGTGTAACACTTTTTTAAATTATATTTAATATTCTACTTTTAAAAATTTAATACACTAAGCATAGACCCTCTACCTTCGATGTCGATCGAATTCTTTTTGTTTCTCTATGGAGACATGATGCCTATCACTTTTTTCTGCAAATGTAAGATATATCTTTTGAATAACTCTTTTTAACTGATAGCTTCTCGGATAAGGAAAAAAAAAGTTGCAGTTAGCAATAAAGCATATGTTGAAACTTAGTTATAATAAAATAACAAAAAGAGCATGAGAGTCTCTTTTCTGGAAAGAATTCTACAGGTTTTCAGTTTTTTTTTTTTTGGGTGTGTTGAGAGAGAAGCAAGCAAGGCTGTCGCCATTATTCTTTATTATACTCCCTCTGTTCCTTATTATAAGAGAAGAATAACCGAATTACGTTGATAAACAAAACAGTTAAAATTAATTAAGAACAATCAATGTGAAATACCCTCATTAATAAAGAGAGAGAGCATGAGAGAAAACAATTAAATTATTAAATGAAAGAGAAGTGGGAGGGAGAGAGAGTGTGAGTTGGAGACAATAAATATGGGTAAAATAAGAAATCAATACAAAAAAGTAGAGACAACTTTTAAGTGTATCTTATATATAAAAACATGTCATAAGCATCAAATGTTTCTTATAATAAGGAACGGAGGGAGTAATAACTTGGCGTATTAAAAAATAACAGAGAAGTGATTTTCTATCTGATAAATGTGTTTCTTGCGTCTCTCTCTCTTAATCCTAATTCTTCAATTTAATTACAAACTGATAAGTTTGGTACAAAGAATTAGATGCTTGAAAATCATGGGTTGCTGGTGACGTTAAAACGAAGATTGTGAAGATTAAGGTATTGCTGAACAAGTGACCCCTGAACCATCACTTCTATGCAGTTAGACAAACTTTTGTGATTCTTTCCCATTCAAATGCCATTATGATCTATGAAAAGTAAAATTGCTGAAAAGTTTCCTTTGCAAAAATTTATTATTAAAAAAAATTACTTCCGGTGTTTAATATAAGACCTAGTTGACTAATTTGAGAAGATTAAGAAAATTAGTTAAGTTAGTTATTTATCATAAATATGTGTTGTCTTTTTTAGAATGCCATTGCTAATCATATATATTAGCTAAAATTACAATTTGATGAAACCTTGCGCAACTATTATAAGAACTATTTTGAAAAAAAAAGAATAAATATAAAAGACAAAGTGGATTGTGATCTTATATTTAGGACCGAAATAAAAGTCAAATAAGCTCTTATATTAATAACCGGAGGTAATACTTGATATTTGTTTAAGAATACTAGTACAAATAGTATGTTTTAATTAACTATTGTTTTTTTAGTTGTGTGCTGTAAAATGAATTATACTTGTTAAAAGATTTAGTCGTCAAATATCTTTAAATAATAGTGAATTTTATAAAAACCCAGCTACATCGTTTCTCATCAACATTATCACCTTTTGTTTTTTTGGGGGGGGGGGGACAAGTAAGAAGAAAGAAACCTTGATATTTTGCGGCTGATTTGATGATAATATTTTAAATATATACATGCATGAATTTTTGTATAAACTTATGGATCCATGAAGTTCTTAAATAAAAACACAGTAGAAATAAATTATTCCAACATCATTGATAGCATAGTTGATATGTTTGAAGCCTTCTGGTTAGGTAGTATTGTAGTAATCGCTGATCAATGTATGGCACCTCAACAATATATTACTTTGGGAGTTTCAACCAATTTTTTAATTAATTGATACAAATCGTCTCATGGAAATTTCAACGCTAGTTGATGATGATACATATTATAGCTTCCATCCGATTAATTTTTAACAAATTAATATTTGTAATTTGAGAGATAATTTTAATCATATATTACAGATATATAGAATTTGTTTGGAATAATAAAATTGAAATTAGTTTAAATTTAAAAACATTAACTTGTAATTTTTTTAATGAGATCATTTTTGACAAGGTGATAGAAGATTATATTTATTTGAGATAAAAAAAATAGAATTTAAAACGACTGTTCAGATCTGATGTGATTCTCATAGGTGTACAGGCAATATCTTTGTTAATCTCATATTCCTCCGGTCTTATAAAGGTCTTATATTTAGGACCGGAAGAGTAATATATAGTCAACTAATAACAAAAATGAAAAAGATATATAAGAAATTTGAGTTTTAAATAAGTATTTTAAAAAAATAGAAATATATTTATCTCAATTAACCAAAAAATTTGAGTTTTTTTAGCGCTTCATTTTAAAGAAAAACAAACTAATAATACAGACAACAAAATATATTACTCCTCCGATCCTAAATATAAGACCCATTTCTCATATTTATCATTTTTCTCTAAATTACCCCTATGGATACTCTCTCAACCATAATCAAGTAGAAGATAGAAAGGGGGTATTAATATAGATAATTATGGTGTTTTAGGAAAAATGTGTCATTTTTCTTATAATTAACTAACTTACCTAAATTCCTTAATATAATCAAATTAGTTAAATAGGTCTTATATTAAGGACCGGAGGAGTATATGTATTATGAAATAGATTGTGCGAATTGAATTCAATACTTTTATGTGTTTAATATCGATGTTTTATTTATTTATTTATTTTGCCAGTATCAGTACAAGATAGATTATTAGATTACACTTTAAAAAAATATTTATTCTAAATTTTGCAAGATTGAAAATTTTAAACGTAATTTTTCTTTAATTATTTTAGCAAGAGTTCAGTTTCCAACCTACATATTAACCTTAAACCGTAGCCATGCTATTCTGCAACTAAAATGTGCAGAAAGGAAGGAGTGTGATGAAGAAGGAAGTAGAAGAGCTTCAATCTCTGGGTGTGTCAGGTGTTTTCAAAGAATCCTTCAACCTCATATTCACACGCCCAAAAATCTTCACCCTAATTTCTCTCTATCTCCTCCTTCCTCTCTCCCTCATCTTCCTCGCCCATTTCCATGTCTCCCAACTCATCTTCTTCAACATTCTCCATAACCAAGCCTCCTTGCATCGAGCTCCTCAAGATTCCCAAACCCGCGCGATCCTCTCTGATATTCTCTTCTCTCAATGGACTTCCTTCTTCCTCCTCAAATTCGCTTATTTCACCTTCCTCTTGAGTCTCTCGCTTCTCTCCACTTCTACTGTTGTGTACACTGTCGCCTCCATCTACGCTTCCGCCAATGTCACTTTCAGGAAAGTCATGGACGTCGTTTCCAAGGTTTGGAGCAATCTTTTGATAACTTTTAATTGGAATATTGCGCTTGTTTTTGCCTATAATGTTGTTTCTGGGCTCTTGTTCATCTTCTGGCTTTCCGTAATTGGTTTCGATGATTCATTGGGGCTTATAATTGGGGGGATTCTCTTCCTGCTGTATTTGATTGGATTTGTGTATGTAACCATAATCTGGCATTTGGCTAGTGTGATTTCTGTGCTGGAAGATAGTCACGGTAGACAAGCCATGACTAAGGGCAATGAATTGATGAAGGGGAAGAAGGGGACCTCCATTGTTGTATCCTGTGTGATCTTGCTGTGCTTCCTGGGAATTCAATTAGGGTTTGAGATTTTTGTTGTGATTGGATTGAGAGTGGGAAGGGAAGTGAGAATTGGGGTTGCAATTCTAGGCTTGATATGTCTTTTGATGGTGATACTGTTGGGTCTAGTTGTTCAAACTGTGCTCTATTTCGTGTGCAAATCTTACCACCATGAACATGTTGATAAGTCATCTTTGGCAGATCATCATGGAGACTATGTTCCTCTCAGAGCCAGATATGTTCAATCACCAGAAAATCCAGTTTAGCAAGTTTTTTTAATTGGCCAATACAATACGTGTACACCAATCTATAGTTGGTTGGTGATGATAGATCAAAGTTGTATTATTATTTCTTTGATCATTCTTTTATTTTTCATTTGTGTACATTTATAGAGAACACAAGAACGTAGGTGAATTTAATAAAATAGATAAGTAAAATACTTCAACTTGATTCTAGCGTATCTGTTTTCTCTTATAGGTTTCCTAAACGACGTTAAAATCCTGATGTACTACTATCTCCAGTTTTATTTATAAGATATCGTTTGTAAATTATAAATGAAGTCGTATAATTAAAACTGAAAATAGTAATAAATTTGATATCCTTGAGGCTGGTGCCCAGAAAGAAAAGGCTGTATCCGTACTTGTTCATTCATCCCCCTCTCCTTTCTCCTATTTTTCCATTATTATCTTGTTTTATAATATTTTCACCAGAAATGCTACCATTAGCATTCAAGGGGGGAAAAACATTTTTTATTGACACAAAATTCTTCTCAGTATTCATCTCGAATTTCATAAAACCATTTCTAAAAAGTTAATCTAAACAGCCTATAGTACCAAATCAGAAGTAAATAAATAAATAACACCGGCCATCTTACCACTATCACACAAGTCATTTAAAATCGAGCCGCCGGTTGATTTCGTTAAGGCAATAGAATGAAGAGAGTGGTTTTATTGTGGTGGAATCAAGTCAATTAAAATAATATAATATATTTAAAATATATATAAAAAATATTTACATATAATTATGAAAAAGAGTAATATTTAAATAAAAAGACAATAATTCACAAATAAATGGGACATTCATATATAAATCATATACAAGCCAATACGACAGAGTTATTAAACCATGAATATGAAGGATAACTTTTTTCTTTGTTCTTTTAGCCCAAAATGATGTTGTTTCATGTTTTGTAAGGAGAAAAAAAATCAAATATAACCTGATTTACTCATACAAAACTTTTAATTAGACCAAATAAGAGATTGGTGCCATAGCCAACTAAATTTAATGTTATACCATTGCGTGCATGGCTCCGCATGAACATCACATCTTGAACAAAAGGGATAAGGATGACCATAAAAATCAACCAGGGAAACAGACAGACAAACTGGTGGGGGTGAAGGATAGAAACAAGGAAAAATTAGGCACAGGTCTCAAAGAAAAGGCTTTATTTATCTAAGATTCTACAAAATGTCAAAATTACTAATAGGTTTTAAGGTACTTTAGAGTATTATATTCTAATTGTAAAATGACATCACTACTCCTCAGATTTTTAATTCATTTTTTCTTCGTCATTGTGATTGACAACCTCAGTAGCGACTATTAACAATCCAATGAGAAGGTATTGACAACCTAAGCAATATTTGTTGACAACTTTTTTTATAGGATCACATAACCTCCACATAAGAGTAAATTATAACCAAATATTATAATACAACAATTTTAACACTGAAATGGGAAGCTTTTCAAAACCATTAAAAACTTTAACTAAACCCAATAGGATTATAAAAAATTTTTAATGCAGAGCTCCATTAACAACCTCAACAGTGAGTATTAATAACTCAAGAAGAGCTGTTAACAACCTTGACAGTGTCTGTTAACAACTGACTTTATAGGATAATATAACATCTAGCAACTATAACTAACTAAATTATAACTAAATATTGTTAAAGTTGATCTTATATAGTTCTTATGTTATACTGTTTAGTTATAATTTGATCTTATGTAGAGGTTATATTATCCTACACAGTCACTTGTTAACAGACATTGCCTAGGTTGTCAACAGATATCCTTGGCTTATTAATACTCACTGTTGAGGTTGTCAATGGATCTCCACATTAAAATTTTATTATAATCTTATTGGGTTTAGTTAAAGTTCTTAATGGTTTTGAAAAGCTTCCTATTTCAGTGTTAAAGTTGTTGTACTCCTCCGGTCCTTATTATAAGACCCAATTTGACTTTTTATTTGGTCCTAATTATAAGACCCAATCCATTTTCTCTCTTATATTTATGCATTTTTTTCCAAGATAATCCTTCTAATAATGATAGTTTTAGCCAATATACTTAATTAGCAAGGATATTTTAGGAATAACAACACTTGTTTATTATAAATAACCAACTTAACTTACTTCCTTAATCTCCTCAAATAAGTCAATTGGGTCTTATAATTAGGACCGGAGGAGTATTATACTATTTGGTTATAATTTACTTTTATGTGGAGGTTGTGATCTTATAAAAAAAATTGTCAACAGATGCTGCTTAGGTTGTCAACACCTTCTTGTTAGGTTGATAACAGTTGCTGTTGAGATTATTAATTGCAATGGTAGAGAAAATATGAATTGAGAATCTGAGGGGTAGTAATGTCATTTTACAATTAAAATATAATACTCTAAAGTCCCTTAGGACCTGCTAGTAATTTTGATATTTTATAAGACCTTAAATGAATAAAGTCTCTTTCTTGGGAACTGTGCGTAATTTTCTCTAGAAGTAATTATGAGAAAAGGAAATGGAAATGAATTAGAAAATCAACCTTAAAATGGGTCTGTTTCCGTGGTTACTAGGATGCCCATTTTAGAAGGAAGCTTGCTTCGGAGCCCAATATGATTCCCCTTTTCCTTGGGTTTCCCCTCAAGAATCAAGACATGGTCAATCACCGGCCCCCTCCAAAACAGTAAGAAAATCAACATATCAATATAATACTCTTCCGGTCTTTAATATAAGACTCATTTAACTAATTTGATTATATTAAGAAAGTTAGGTAAGTTAGTTAATTATGAGAAAAGTGACAAATTTTTCCTAAAACACCATAATCATCTTTCTTAATACTCCCTTTTCCTCTTCTACTTGATTATGATACAGGGAATATCTATAGGGGTAATTTAGAGAAAATTGATAAATATGAGAAATAGATCTTATATTTAGAACAAAAACCAACTCAATAATTGATTCTTATATGAAAGACCGGAGGAGTAATATAATATTATCTCCTATTCTTAATATAAAAACTAATTTGATATTTAATTTAGTTCTAAATATAATATTGTAATATACTTTATATCTCATATTTATTTATTTTTTTCAAGGTAGTCTTTATAGTAGTTGCATATGTTAAACACCCTTATTAATCATATGCATTAGCTAGAATCTTTAACCTATAATTAAATGTATTCTAGCTAATACACATAATTAGTAAGGGTATTTTAGGAAAGACAATATCTATTTATTATAAATAAATAATTTAACAAATTTTCGTAATCTACTCAAATTAATCAAAAGCTCTTATATTAAGAACATGAGGTAATATTATAGTGTTTGTACAAAATTATACTATTTGTAAATTATTAACGCTAACAGTTATTGTTGATGTCAATTGCCAGTCATCCCAGTCATAGCATTACTTGTCACATTTAAATGAGTTCTTAGATTTGAACTTAGTATTGATATATTTGTGTGTTAGTTTTTTGCTAGACATAAGCATCCTCTTATTAGAAGTAATTTTGTTCGAGGTATTATTAGGCATTAAATATAGACACTGCTCTTAATAGGAATTCAAACATTGATTTGTCAAAAATATTTCAATGCATGTCAAAAGATTTTAACGGTATCAAAATACTAGAGACCAAGTGACCAACAGTTTGAAACAGATATAATTTCAAGAACTAATACCACATATTTGAAATTTCATGAACTAATACCAAATTAGGTCCAAATTTAAGAGATCAAAATTTATATTAATTTTTTTAAAAAAAAGTACTGTTTATCAACAGACCGGCTTGGCCCAATAAAGGACTGGCCTAATACAAGCTCAAGGACCCTAGATTTATCGATCTAGGGTATTTGATACATGCGAAAAGTATTTTAAAAAATATTTTTACATAAATTGAGATAAAACTCTTTTTATATATATTTTATATTTTACAAAATTACTTTTAAAATTATGGTTTGATTTCTACTTAAACATTGCTAGAGTCAAATCCCACGAATTTTTTTTCCTATTCTCTTGACGTCCTTGTTTTAAAATCTAAAATGAATTTAAACAATTAGGACTATTAGAAAAAAGCTATCGATTGTGATAAATGCAGGGACACAGAATTTTGTGCAACTAAACAATCGATTATACGTGTATTTTTTTTTGTGATTTGAGAAGTATATATGCAGGCATACAAGGGTTGAACCAATTGTTTAATAATTATGAGAATTAAAATCATGCTTTTCTTAAAAAATATCCAAATACTCCTGTACATACCCAATTTAATTATGGACTCAAAACTAAAACTAAAAGCAAACACCTCTTAATCTGGCCAAAAAAGAAAAAGTAAACACCTCTTAAATGGAATTGAAAGTGACACATTTTGCATCGCAGTCTTGTTCTTGAGAGGAAAGGAAACAATGAAATGCCAAAAAGGGGTGAGCTACTCGTAATAGCTATCTTATTATGTAACAGTTTTCTTGATGCTGTGATGAGATTTAATTTGCACCATTTATATTTGAGTAAAATACTCTGGCATCTCTTGTATTTTATTTTAATTTCACTAATATTCCTTCTATTTTGAAAACATATACTTCAATCCAAACCGTTAATTCTGTTAAAAATATTTTAAAAAGATATTTTTAATTAAAATTTATATTGAGATACTTTTTATTTACTAATTTAAGCTTCATAATACTAGATTCCTAAATTTTGGCTAACAAATTTTGACGAATTTAAATTTTTTTATTTTCCATAATTTTATTTTTTATTTTTATAAATAGTATTTTATAGTGTTTTTACTATATTTGGATGAAAAATTAATTTATTTATTTAATGCAGACATAAAAACCTTGAATAAAAACTTGATTAGTTCTTTAAATAAATATATAATAAACTAAATACATTATAAATGTTTTTGACAAAATTTTTATTTTAAAATTTTAAATTTTAAATTTAAATGGTTTCTATAGTCTCTCCAATTTAGACAATTTATGTTGTATAAGAAAAATTTATTTAATATATTTTCTAGCCATCTAAAAAAAATTAAATAAATAGGTTTCATTATGCAGTGAAAAATTAAAATTATGAAATCTTATAATATAATTAAAATTAATAAAATTGCATATAAAAAATTTGAAAATGCATGTATTAAAATTGTTTTTTGTTGTATCAAAAATTATTTTTTTGATAAATATAAATGTTTAAATAACTTTTATGTTAAGGAAGGATATTTTGGTCAAAATAGAAATTCAAAAGTCAAATTTAACGGTCATATAACAATTGAATGAATGGAAATGAAATTTCAAATATACAAGGAAGGTTTATGTAAAATGCATTTTAATTTCAAAGAAAGTTTATATATATTTTTAAAATAAAAAAAGATTTCTGTAATTTAGATAAAATAGAGAGATAGTTAGAGTATTTTACTATTTATATTTATATTTAGATTAAATGATCAAAAACTTTTAAGGGAGAATTAGAGAGAGGGACCTATATGGATGATATTTATTGGAAAGGATCATAAAAACTATAATTGTTTAGAAGGACCAAATAATAAAATATAAATTTACAAATACTGTTTTACCCCTAATTAAATCTCCTATATTCTCTCTCACCATATCCTATAATTATCTTTTTTAAAAATGAAATAGTAATAACTTATTCATATTCATTCAAACTAATTAGAATTACAAAGTCAAAACCAATTCTAATTAATCAAATTAAATTAATGATGAATACTAATTAATTTATTTTTCCATCATTTTTAATTAATAAAACTTTGGGCTTTCTGAATGATGAACTTATCAGAACTATAAAAGTCAACCACATTTTTATTTATTTATTTCATACTCTTATTTTCTTTACCAAAGTACTCTTATTTTATTTCAAGACATTAATTATAAATTTATAAATCCAACCCTTAGAAATAAATTGAATCCTAAAATTACAAATTTCAAATAAAAAGTAACATATAAAAATCATTATATCAACAGGTATTTATCATAATAAAAGTAATTATAATAGTTTGAGTGCCAAAATTCAAACTTGAGTCTACCTAAATATAAAAGATAAAATTGAAAGGGCTATCTCGATATAGTAAAATACAACATGCTCAAGTCACTTTACATTATTTCTTTTAGTCTTGGTTAGTTTATGTGATATAAAAAATTATATAAAATAATTTAAATGAAATTTGTTGCAATTCACAAACCTTCATCATACAAAGTACTGCCTCCAGTCCTAATTATAAGAGCTAGTTGACTAATTTGAGAAAATTAAGAAAAAAAGTAAAGTTAGTTATTTGTAACAAATAGATGTTGTTTTTCCTAAAATATTCTTACTAATCAAGTGTGTTGGTTAAAATTATAATTATTAGAAGGACTATTTTGAAAAAAATTGAGTAAATATGAGAGACAAAATGGATTGGGATCTTATATTTAGGACCAACATAAACGTCAAACAAGATTTTATATTAAAGACTGGAGGTAGTATGATGCATATAAATATGTATTTCAAATAATGTCCGAAACATAAATAACATAGATAAAAGATCCAGTTAAAAAATTATTTTAATATAAAATATATATTACAAAATGATATTTATTCACGTGAAAAATTGTCAACTCATTCTTTAAGATAAAATGTAGTTTTTGTTTTTGGCCAACCTATAAACTTATATCTGAAATGATGGCCCCAAAAAAACTGCGTATGACATAAATTTAATAGAATTCATTGCATATCACCAATCTTTATCATGTAACTTCACTTTTTTTAAATAAGCAAGATCAGAAATCAACTTCGTTGAGGAGAACGTTTGAGTTATACACAACAAACTATAATTATATTAAATAAAATGTTTTATAACATTAGAAAATGATTTAATTTATTACTTATTGGAAAAATGACAAATAAAGAAGTTGAAAATTTTGATATACCAAATCAAGCATCTAAGAGTTGAAAATAACAAAGAAAGAAATGATGCATGATCTGATATTTTACAAATATAGTTAAATCACTGAAATAACCTTATATCAAAAGTTTATTAATAAGTTATGGACTAATAATGACAAGTGTTGAATAGTAAAGGACAAGAAATATATTGATAATAATAAGTTATTTATTAACAAGTTCTGAACTAACAATGACAATTATTGAATAGGTAATGACAAGAACTGTATTAGTAATAATAAGTTTAATAACTTTTTTTTTCTTCCAAATATGATATAAGAGCATTTTAGTCATTTAACTACGTTTGTAAAATACAAGATCAGGCACTACTTCTTTTTCTGTTATTTTCAACTCTTAGGTGTCCGAATTAGAAAATGATAATTTCAGGGTTTTTTTTCTCTGGAATTTTTCCTTATTTATTTTGTTAGCAAAAAAATTATTATTTATTTTGATCTTAGTTATCCATTTAAAATTACTAGTCACCAAGATTCCCAAATTATGAATTAATTATAAAGCTTTTCAAGAAATCATGAATCTAATTACTAGAACAGACTACAAGTTGGCGCTGGTTATCAGAAAAAACAACATAATTAAAAATCATCATTCATGATAATCCATCCTTAATAAGAAAGGTCTTCAGAAAGAAAAATGATCTCATGAGTTTAAAATCATATTAAAGAGGAAGAAACAAAAACAGCGCATAATATCAACAAGAGCAAATATATATACTACCTCCTTTAGTGTTTAATATAAGACATAGTCAACTAATTTAGAAAGATTAAAAAAGTTATTAAATTACTTAATTATAATATATGATATATGATCTATATAAAATAGTTACACACATGACCCATATAAAATGCTTACATAGATCATTAAAATATGTGTCAATTTATAAGTGAGGTCAATTAGTTTGAAGAAAAATGAGAAATATCAATAGTTTAAAGTAGTGTGGTAACTTTCTTAATTTTTTTTAAATTAGTCAATTGAGTTTTATATTAAAGACTAAAGGTAGTATGTGTTTGTGTGTGTGTATAGCTTCACTATATTCATCATTCTGATCACGTGAAATAATTTTCTTGTGTTTACAAATCAATACCGAGAGAATTGGATTCACTCGCTCGATATATTCGGTGTCCCGTTGACTCGTTCACCACTCGCTTAAACTCGGCTGAATCGTGCTTTTGACTCGGCTCGCGCAAGCCTTCGAAATGTACCAAGAGTAGATGGCCAAAACCCGAAAATATAAAAAGCCTCCTAGAGGGGATTTGAACTTTCGAAGCATATGCATTTACATATATAATCAAAGACATCACATTTTTCAATATAAAATGAAAAGGCAAAAACTAAATGTGTGTATAATTTTTAACTAAATCAATGACCTATGTAAATATTATATTAAAACTCTCTATTATAAAATATTTATTTTATTTTTAAATTGACGTACTAAAAATTATAATTAACTAATTTTCAGATTATCCTTTAAATATATGAATATATCTTGAAAAATGATTTATTATATGATTCAAATCATAGTTATTATAGTTACTTTACCTTTATAGTTTATAGTCATTGGGATTAAGCATTTTTCTTATGACTTCGGAGGTGTAAAGTTGTGCATTTAAACTCTCAAAGGTGTTTGATTATGAAAAACCAATTTAAATTACTCCTACTTATATTGGGATGAGATAATAACACGAGATTTTATCTAAACATAACAGGTGACGCAGACAACTTGCCATTAATAAGATAATTAGGTAAAATTTGTGAGATATGAATTTTCTTGTAACTTTTCAAAATTATCTTTTGGTTTGGTACTACAATTTATTGGCAAGAGAGAGGACAAGATAGCCATAAATTAAATTAAAAGTAAAAAAAAGAAGACAAAAATATTATTAAAGATAAATTATAAGTGTTTTATTACATTTTATATCTTAAACAAGAACCCACTTATCACATTCTTTTTTTTTTCCCACAACCACTCATCACATTCCACAAAATAGTAATCACCTGGTGTTCTTAATATAAAATCTCATTTAATTTTTATTTTAGTTTTAAATATAAAATCTTTTTTTATATTTATCAATTTTTTTAAGATATTCCTTATAATAGTAATAGTTCTAGCTAATACATTATAATAATGGTAGTTCTAGCTAATACATTTGATTAACAAAGATATTATAAGAAAAATAACACATATTTATTACAAGTAACTAACTTAATTAATCTTCATAATTTACTTAAATTAGTGAATTATCTCTTATACTACCTCCAGTCCTTAATATAAGACCTTATTTGATTTTTATTTTGATCGTAAATATAAGACTCCAATTTACTTTGGCTCTATATTTATACATTTTTTCTCAAAGTAATCCTTTTGGTAATGATAGTTCTAGCCAATACACTTGATTAGCAGGGATATTTTAGGAAAGATAACACTTATTTACTACAAATAACCAATTTAACTTATTTTTTAAATTTTTTTTAAATTAATCAATTAACTCTTATAATTAGGATTGGAAGTAGTATTAAGGAGAGGTAGTATTAATAATATTATTAATATTTTTGAAATAAGATGGGAATAATTTTAAGTCGGCGTGGGAGTCTCAAGGAGAATTAAGCGGCAAACCCGCATACGGTAAGGGGCTTCATTTCGTGGCGCCTAGTGCTCAAATTTGTTTCTTCTTCCTCTCATCTTTCATTCCTGAATTCCCTCCTTCCTTGTTTCTTTCTTCCACTTTTTAAGGTACAGAAATCCTTTGGACATAAAAAAGGCACAGAAATCGCTGTGTCTATGTTTCTCGTTTCGAATTATGCGTGTCTAAACTCAAAGTTGATTTTTAAGAAAAATGAAGTTAACATTCCACGATCGTTCTTTTTCTTTTTTTGCTTGTCACCTGGATGATTTCAGAAATAGGATTTCGTGTTAGGTCTTTATTCTGGTAATGTCTCTCGCAGCATTTTCCAAGAGATGGATGTTTGACGTCGTGTATTTTACGCTTGTCTGTTGCTATTTCTTCTGTTGATTCTTTCAGTGATTGGTGATTTGGTGTTCCAAGGTGGATTGTGATGGATTCAACTTCGAGTCAGTCCGAATTCGATTACATGTTTAAGCTGTTGATGATTGGGGACTCCGGGGTTGGGAAGAGTAGTCTGCTCCTATGTTTCACTATTGATACCTTTGAAGATCTCACCCCCACAATCGGTACGATTATCGAACCCAATGTATGTTAATTTTATGGGGTTGTTCTTTGATTTGGATCTTATTTTGGTATTCCAGTACTTATCTGCTTTCTTATGTGTTGTCACATGTAGGTGTTGATTTTAAGGTCAAGCATGTGACTTTAGGCGGTAAAAAGCTGAAGCTTGCCATTTGGGATACAGGTATTAACTATTATTTTATCAGCACTCTATTTCCTAATGTTTCACATCATGCTTTTTGTCTTTTCAGGAAATCCTTTTATAAGATTGCTGATATCGTGATAAAAAATGATCATGGATGGATTTTGATTGTTTAAGTTATTGTACCGTATCTGATTATTTTCCTTCTCTAACAAATGCAGCCGGTCAAGAGAGATTCAGAACACTAACAAGTTCTTACTACCGAGGGGCACAGGGGATCATCATGGGCAAGTTTTTACCCTCTAGTTTTTGGATCTTCCTTATATACAAAATATTATATGCTGGATTTTGTAAAATTTTTATTGCACTTAATATATCTAAACCTGTTGTAGACTGTATTCTATTGATAAAAATGGTATCAACATATTCTTGTTAAGTTGGTGGCCAGAATTAGAACACCTGCGATATGAGAAGGAGAAGATGTTGTTAATCGTATAAATCTATGGTGTAATTTTCATCTAGGAATTACTATTTATAAATAAAAATGTGGTAGTTTTTTACTTATCAGTAAATTAGGAGTTAGTATTTAGTTCAGTTTTTTTGGGTTTTGGGATATATTATCTTGCATTTATGTTTTATTGGAATTTTAATTGTGTTTCATCCAAGTTATGATTTTTTGAGTTTTACGAGATCATATTGAAAAATTTAAACTTTTATGCCCTTGAAACAACTTTTCTACATGTTAAACACTTGCAGTATGAAACACTTAAACTACAGGAAGCGCATGTTTGGCTTCTTAGTAAAGTTTATTGTCTTCTATCTTTTTGATTCATGGCAATTTAATGAACAGACTGGAATTCCTCCTAAGATGTAAAATATTGGTTGGTTTCATTGTGTAATGATGGATATTTGAATTAGATGCGATGGAATAGATTGTCATGGGTTATGGGACCCTGTAGTTCGTACTAGAATTTCACTTTTGCATTTGCTGCTGATCTTTATATTTTACTCCTTATGCCGATGCAGTTTATGATGTAACTCGACGAGAAACATTTACTAATTTATCTGAAATATGGGCAAAGGAAATAGATCTTTATTCAACAAATCAGGACTGCATCAAGATGCTTGTTGGGAACAAAGTGGATAAGGTATCTTTTAAGAAGCTCACAAGCATAAGCTGCTTCTTTTTAAGAAGCTTTGAACGACGTCTTGATCAATAAGTGATTTTCTACTGCAAATTTCTGCCTGGTGCCTGACCTAAGGCCCAGTCTGCTATTTTTGATTCACTTGAGTATTGCTGTTCCCTTTATTTCTGCTTACAATGTTTAATCCTCGGCTGTTAAATTCTAAATTTCTGGCGAGTCTGGATTGACAGTTAATGCATACGATTAGGAAAAGTTGGACCATAGAAAAACTGTCGGGCACCGTTAGAGACAGGCAAATCTAAAATTGACTAGGAGAAGAGGGGCAGATCTCCTGCCATTCAATTTTTCCAGTTCTCTCCGGGTTTTGGATGCCTATAGAGAGAAAGTACGTTAGCTATGAATTTGAATATTACTATGGTAGCATTCTGTTGTGACCCTGCTTTAATATTCAACAAAACCTGAAACCAGACCAGCAAAATGAAACAGAGCAGCAATAAATGAGGAAAATCCTGAGGCTTTGATATTAGTATTTCAGAACTGAATCAAAGATACAACAAGCTTCCCTGATTCAAGCCAAAGCCCTATTTCCCCCTAATACCAAAATAGATCACAACAGCAACTAGCAAACAAAAGGTTACACTGGAAATACAATAAACGCGGCTAACACAGCGGCTCTCCCATGGCATTCGAGAGGCCAGTTCTCTCCCTCACAACTCTTTTCCAAAATAAGTCCTAAGGCATTTCAGTTTCATTACGAAGCAACATAGTCTCCCAAAAGCAGTCCTACCCCGCCTACAAGGTTTAAGACTCACAAGGCTAGTAGCTAGCTGCCAATTAGAGTTGCTCCTCATTTCCTGGAGCTCTGGGATAATTGTTTTGACCAGTGGATTTATCTTCTTCCCTTGGTTGCTTCCTTATTTTCCTCCCATATGTCTTCTTAATGCCTGCAGTTATATCACATTCCAACTAATTAAAATAAACAACCCTTCTTGACTTCTATATTTGTTTCTTTTCTGACTAATGAATTGTATTTGAACTTTGTACTTGATATGTTCTTGCGTTCCATAATGGGATTAAATGTGCAAGAGGGTGAGACCATTGTTTTGCAGGAGGGTGATCGAGTTGTATCTAAGGAAGAGGGAATAGACTTTGCCCGAGAATACGGATGCTTATTTATTGAATGCAGTGCTAAAACTCGAATTAATGTACAGCAGTGTTTTGAAGAGCTTGTTTTGAAGGTATGTTGCCCGTTCCTGAGCACATTTGGGGCTTTTATTCGGATGCCATATAAATTCCTTATGCACAAAAAATTAAATAGAGCCAGAAAAATTGGTAGGGGGGGCAAATGGAAATGGCCGGAAGCTACTTTTGAATTTGAGAATATGTATTAATATTCTTGTTGTGGGGAACAATAGCTGGATGACATAAAATGGTTCAAGTGATGTTGCATGTTGTTGCAGATCCTGGATACGCCTAGTCTCTTAGCTGAGGGCTCCAAGGGGCTCAAAAAGAACATTTTTAATGACAACCCTCCTCAAGATGATGCATCCACTAGTAATTGTTGTTGATGTTTTTGCACTAGCAGCACAAGGTTACAAGCAAGATCGACCTATCATTTATAGGGAGTCTTACATGTTGTGCTTTAGATTTAAAAAATCACATTTTTTAACACGTTTATTGATTGTTTAGGGGCTCCACAAGTCATTATTCACATTTTAGCTTCACATATAAGGTTCTTGTCTGTCATGACTTGTAATGTCAAATGTAGGAGTGTAATGATTATTCCTTTTATGCATTGATTAGTTGAAAACTTGGTGGAGATAATGTGATGTAATGGAGGATTTGTTACCCCAAAAGTAAAAGCAATTGTACATCATAACTACGCAATGATTTTCCTCCAACTTTCGATCAACTGTTTTTTCAACGAAATAATTAGTAGATAAGCTTGTTTCTTGGATGATTGTAGGGGAGATAAGATCATGTAAAAAGTTTTACTACTGAAGTAAAATTAATAAATAACGTGTGAATTAATGAATTATAGAGTTTAGTATTACAATTATAATTTGTATAAACCATAGATAATAATTTTTTTTTTGGGGGTAAAACAAAATATAGATATCTTGTTTTGATCAATGTTGATATCATCATCAATATTGATATCAATCAATGAATCTTATCATCATCATAAAATATGAAATTCATAATAATTCATACTACTTTCATGGTGTGAATAGTTATTAAAAAAAGAAAACTTACCGTGTGTCATTTGTGTAGTGGATTTGATCTGATAACCAAAAAATTCATAAATTTTATCAATTTAGTTTGAAAAACTTCTGTTGTTCACAGAGCTTATCCACAGTTGTTAATGCCAACTGATATATTTCTCCAATAGAAATGTCAGCCATATTTCTATGGAGTGTTTACGTTTCGGCTTTAAGATAAGATACGATCATTTAATTAAGTGAAAATTATTTTGCAAGTATCTGTAGTTTTTCTCAATTTTTAATTTGGTATTTGTGTATTTCTTTTGTACTTAAACACTGTAATTTTGCTCTGTTAACATAAGTAGTTTTTGTATAAGAGCTAATGATACTAATAGAGCCAAGTTACAAAAGCTTTTGATTAAGAGGAAAAAACACACATTAAAAATTAAAGAAAACTATAGATACCTACGAAATGGTTTTCCCTTCAATTAATATCACATTTTTACTCACAAAATTTGGGAAAAATATTTTTTAGATTAAATAGTGATATAATATACTTATTTTTAAATCTAACTTAGACAAATTGGAAGAGATTGGCTTTAACGAACATACAATTTAAAATTATACACATATACTTCCTAAGACTCTAAATACAAAAATTAGACAATTAATCTGTAAATATTAAAAATTATTAGCTGAGTTATTTATAAAAAGGTTATCTATTGTTTCCTTAAAATATATTATTTAATTTTTTATATTGAAAACTACTCATATCAATAAAATTTTTCATTTAATATGTACAATTAATAAAAAATTGTTTTAAAAATAAATTTAAAAGATAAGATAATTAAAAGTGTAGGACTGAATTTAAATTTAGGTATTTTAACCAAATTTAATTATAAATTTTCCAAACTAAAATTGCAAAATTAACTTTTATATTTATATCTCATTCCTAAAGTCGCAACGTGTTTAATACATTTACTTTATAATACGTGTGGACGGAGGATTGTGTAGTACGGAATAAAATCAAAAAATGAGGTTATCATCGCATCCTCGGCTCTGGGAAGGGAACGTCATTTTGGCTGCACGGAGGATCTGTTTTCGATTCCGAATTCGCAACTATGGGTGCGTCCTGCAAAGCGCCACACATTTCTTATCTTCCTTCTCCCCTTCTTCGACGAAACCCCAGATTCAGGATTCAGAATTGCCATAGTCCCAATTCTAGACGCCAATTCCCAAACAGACGTTTGTTTCTCTTCTCTCTTCCACTCTCTGGTTTCCTTCTCCTTCCTCATAAATTTCAGTCTGGGTCTTCCTATGCTGCCGATCAATATGATCCTGTTACTGCGGTTGAAAAGGATGCGAGTGCTGTAATATCGCGGAGAGTTTCAGAAGCTGTGGAGTTGTTGGAGAAAGGGAGGGAATTGCAGGCTCAGGGTGACTTCAATGGCGCTCTTGCCTACTTTTCTACGGTAATAATCCCTCATCACTTTTCCTTTTTTGACTTAGTTTGATAGTCTGTTGATGTCAGAGGAGCGTTCTTGATTTTCCATTTGATTGTATGACTACAAGATCTTAAAAATAATTCTTAATTTTGATGACTGACCATGGTGTTCTCTCCCACCCCACCCCCCCCAAAAAAAAAAAATCTTCCTTCCTTAAGGGTAAGTGCACAATTTGGTCATCTACATTTCAATTCTTTAGCATCCCAATCCATTTTGTATTGTAAATTACATACAAGATCCGTCTTAGATTTAGGAGATTTAGGACAGGAGGATTATCTACCATGATGGTGTGATAAACGAGTTTAAACCTTTTCTATTATGGTATGATTGAGCCAAATGATTTATGTAAATGTTAAGTTTTATCAGGTGTTACGTGGTTCATTTTAAACCCCATGAAAATACAGACTCATTCTAGTTGATTGTATGCAGATAATTTAAAGCCTTTATAGATGCGCCATTAAATGAAATTCATAATTTTGATGTGGAGCGCCAAACCTGAATAACACGGTTGACAGGACATAACACCAAGTGTCATTGAGTTTATCATTGAAATTTATGTTTTGATTTTCCTAGTGATCTGTACTCAAGTATACATACAAATATGCACTTGTTATAGGTTATTGAAAACTACAAAGACTTGGCATTGTCAGACTATGCTAGGGTAGGAAGAGCACTTGCGCTGTATGAAGTTGGTGACAGAGAACAAGCTATAGCAGAAATGGAAGATGTTTCAATATCTCTAAAAGGCTATCCGGGTAAACGCCTTGAATCATTATGCTTTACAGAAGGAATTTTACAACCTTGTTCTAATACTGTATTTTTGTTTCCCAAAACCAGAGGTTCATGCAGCTCTTGCTGCAGCCTTGTACACAGATAAGCATGCCCCTTTGCTTGCAGAGAACCAGTTCACCATTGCTACTCTGCTTGATCCACATTTTTCAGACCTCTCTTATGTCAGAGACAGAAAGCACTGGCCACCAAGTTTGATCAGTTCTCTGCAGCAATTCATTACACTATCCTAGGAATCCGTAACTCTATTTCTGAAAGGTTCCCCAGTAGGTTCTGTTTACAAAAGATATATAGATCATATCAACCATGAGATGAAAGGACACATAGGTAAGTTAATCTATTTGTGTTCTGCGAGAGGAGTCTATATATATAAGCTATGTTGAATGTATACGTATTCATCGCATACTTAGCAGTGCCAAGCTAAATCAAGGCGTTTATAGAAGCTGCAGGTCAACACGCGCAAATGTAAATGAACAATTTTCCAGTGGTTAGTTATACTGAAATGTAATTCATTATCTTTCGTATATTTTTTTATTTGTCTCTGCTCTAAGTTAAATTGACCAAAGGAGCATATTTGAAAGAAGTGTTTATACGTCGCCTCTGTATTTGAAATGGTACTGTTAGCTGGCAAACTTAGGATTTGTTTGGAGCTTTGTTCAAAACAGACTTTTAAGCAAGTTCATATAAGTTAAGACAAAACTCTTCTCACATACTTACTTCGTATTCTATAAATTATGTTTGAAAAATTACTTATAAGTCAATCCAAAAGTCCTTAGCAGTTAAGCAGAAGACCAGGACTAATCGGAAGAATGGCACTTGCTGAAGTTCAATCCTCTTAGATGTTTGGTTTAACTTATTTTATTTTGTTTTGTATAAGATAAATATATGATGAGAGTTTTATATCGTAATGCACAAAAGTAATTTTTTCTGAATGTAGTTCAACTTTTTGAATTTTGTTGTAGTTGAGAGGGTGGATACAAATATATTGATGCTGAATCCTCTTTCGATAGGTACCGTTTGTAACAACAAAAGGTTATAAAGGTGGTTGATACGTATACAATAGGAAACAAGTCATACAAAAAGGTCGATGAGTTCATAATAAGAAAAAAGTTGCATAAAAAAAGTTTGACAAATGTGCGAGTAAGCGGCGGAAATTATTAAGAGGAAAAGGTGGGGATAGTAGGGAGGATTGTGGACTAGACGATCTATGTTTCTTCTTCTCTCTCTGGACCTGATATTTGCCCATTGTGCAAATTTTCAAAACATTAGGAATTAAATCACAAAACTTCACTAACTAATGAATTAACCCAATTCAATTCCGAACTGCAAAATATATTCAGTTAAGCACTTAAGCTAGAAAGCTATACATAAACTAAGCATGGAGGGCATAACATAAATATTTTTTTCCTTGAAAAAAAAATGAATGTTATCAGTTAGACATCGCTAGTCATCTGCCTCTAAATTTCCTGAAGACAACTGGTAAGCTCTAAACTATGCCTTGGTGGGAGGCTGAACACATCCACAAAAGGGTGCTTTCTTCCTCTTGTGGATAACCGTTCTTGATCTCGTCCCTCCATAAAGATAATCTCGCAGAAGCACCCTAGCACTTCGATCAGCAGTCATTCTTGCTTTTCCTGTACTTTGTTTCTCTTCGTCAAGCTTCAGAAGCAGAAATTGCAGTCTCTGCACATCCATTTGAAGCTTTCCTATTTTTTCCGATGCTCTCCGCGCTTGTTCTGCGGCTCTCCTTCTGCTTCTATTGACGCTTCCGCTGCTCTCGTCGGAATCTGTTCCCCCTGCTCGCTTCCCCCCAAACGACACCGTTCCGTCTCTTACTTTCCTCAACAACTTCCGGTTTCCGTCAAACAGCTTTGTGATGACTTCTTCAGAAGCTTCAAGCTGCCGTTTAACTGTATCGTACTCAATATCCTTCCCCATTGGGATTTGTTTGGTGATTTCTACCTTCTTTATCAAGTCTTGCACGACGATGTGAAGGTTTGTGAGCTTTTGTGCATCGGTGTCAAGTTTGTCTAGAAGCTTCCGCTTGCTGTTTTCGTCACGGCCCTCTGTGAATCTTCTTGAATTTGAGACCTCTAATTTGTCCACGCTCAATTCCTTTTCAGTCATTGACTCTGTGGAGGGAATTTTAGTTCTGGATTCCCTGCTTGCTCTTCTTTGATGGTGGCTCGATGGTCTGGTAGCCGTTTTGTGCGCCTTTCCGACAGTTAGACCAATGCTGCTATTCCTATCTGCAGTTTCCCATAGCTCGAGCATCGGATCATCAGCATCAAGAGTTTCTCTTCGAGTTAGCCCGTACGACGAACATTCTGACATTTGATCAAGCATGATGTCTTTGGGCAGAA